ACAAACATCTCATCGGGGCCACGACCGTCGGTCGTAGTACCCTGAGTCAACGATCTTCGTAACTTCGTGTTCTGCAACTTGATCTCATCCTTTAATTCGCAGTTCATCTCCTGCTCGTTGGCATAGAGCTCCTCATAGTGCTCTGCCCTTGCGATCGAGTTTGCACTAGCCTGTGATTCAAGCCTCAGGTGTGATATTGCTTCGGCCTCTTGGTTCCTGTATGATGCAATTCTTCTGACGGTATCATGTTCAGTGTTTCGATGCTTCAGATCACTTTCCAATTTGGCCTGATTTGCCTCGAAAACCTTCTTCCTAGATTCTCTAGTGATCTCGTCGATACTGCTCTCATACAGCTCGGCCTGTTTACGAGACTGAACCAAAGCTTCACTCAATAGCTGATTCCGTTCAGATAATTCATGAACTGCAATTGATTGTTGTTGGCTAATCACTTCAAGTTGATTGCTAGAGAAGGATGCCATTTCGGATCGATTACGATATTCCATGATTGAGTTCTGGAAATCTGTTTGCATTTCTTGACCTTCATTGTATAATCGATTGGCAATATCGGTGGTTAAGACATTGGTTTGATGAAGTTGTTGCAGTCTTGCCTCCGTATTACCCAGTAGTCCTTGAAGGTGATGTACTTCATCCTTGTATTCCTCCTGGATCTCCATACCACGTTGATGGATCCGTCGTGCACCATGTTCCATTAGGGCACCTCGGCGTTCAAGGTCTTGGATGCGTATTGTTGCACCTTCATCTTCCTGAGATGCTACCATTAGTTCTGCTTGATATTCTGCAACCTCATTTGCGGAACATGACAATCTATGATTGAGTGCATTGACCTCATCAAATACATTCTGGTTGTGTTCCTGAAGATACTCAGTGAATCTGATCTCGATGTCATGAATCAGTTGATCTCTAGATGCAGCGTATGCTTCCATGTTATTCAGCTGATTACGTAGGGATTGACATTGTGCCCGTAGTTCTTCTATCATGGCAATAGGTTCACTAGCCACAGAAGTGTCCGTTGATCTCCTCTTAACACGACTATCCCCGGTCCTCTCACCAATTCGGTCGGTCACGGCCCTGGTGGATCTGTCCCTTGAAGTAGTACGTCCTCGAGATGGTCGATGCCCTTGGCGGACAACATCACTCCGAGCACTGTTTCGAGAAGATCTAGGTGTACTTTGGGTAGATATTCTTCGTCTGTTTGATGTAACTTGCCATCCGGACTGTGTAGTTCGGGTAGAGCGTATCCCGCCACTGTCTGCCGTGTCGCCAGGGGAAGATTGATTGACCTCCTCGACCGGCATAGCAGTGTTCTCATTGAAGGTAAACTGCGTGGTGCGCGAATCTCCGCTGCCGCCTTGCATCTTTGCGACGATGAGCTGATTGGTCCTTTGCGTCCTCAATCAATTGCTCAGAAGGCCCGGCTACCAGCACGCAGGTACCACTCTCCCGGCGGGAGAAGTGAGCCCTACGGCTGATAACCTGTGAACAATTTGATCCTTGTTCTGGATTATCCCTTTTGATTGTAGTACCGGTTATGCTGGTAGTGCAGGGCAACGTCACTGCATGGCGTTCGGAGAACGGTCTTTTTCCTCGCGCACGACTTGAGCCAAGTGATTGGCAGTCCATGCATAATTGCTTACATGCTCAGCATGTGCAGTTGCTGTATTACCTGGTTCCCTTTCGCATATATATATATATGCAACATTATTGGACTAGGAATGCGACTTCCACAAGCAGGTCAGGGTTGACTTCAAAACATTAAACGTAAAAACAATCAGTGATGAACCTCAACATAAAGTCCTTTGCCAATTCAACCAATTTGGTCCACAGGAGCTGGACACCACAGTTTCATCCAGAATTCTTTGCAACGGACTTACCGACTTTACCACAGCATCAAATTCTCCGACGTGTCATTGCTTGAGCTTTGTCCAATCCAAAACTTGAGAGCAGGCGGAGGCGGACGAAAGGTAGTGTAGTGGGAGAGGAGTGGTGTCAAAATGCTGCGCCCCTAAGATGATACACCAAAACGTTTTTGCGCAGTCTAAGATGATTTTATCCAGAGCATGACTGCATGACACTGTGTCTTGTGCTGCGTGAAATGATGCACGAAAAGGGGTTTATTTAAAACCCCTTTTTAAGACCCCTTGCAGCAACTGTTATTGAGGCTGAAGCATACCAATTATGCTGGACTACAGGGACATCTCCCTCATGGAAAGTGTGCCTCTAATGTGGGGGCCCGTGACCGCGTCACCCGTGGGAATTGAACCCATGACCATTTTCGGGGGGGGGGGCCCCCCCCCTTATAATTGATATCCAATACATAACGGCGAGAATTCCATGAATTGCACGGGCTGGCCCCCCAATACCCCCTAAGCTTGTGCTGAAGCACGGAGAACTCAGGTAGCTGACGCTACCTTTCGTGATTAGGGTGTACCATGGCAATGGCATGTCCCACTAACACCGGTGGAACAACAGGCAGCCATGCCATGCCATGCCTCCGTCCCCGGCACATTCACCACCTGCCAATCAGAAAGTGGCTATGGTCCAGCTGGACCTGGGTTTTACCAAGCAACTGATGAGTTTTGCCACTTCGATTCCTCCAGCTTGTTTTTGGTACAATTCATTAAGAAATATTGAGTGCAAATGTTATCAAATACACAGTTGTAAGATGAGTTTTTTTGACATCAATGCCAATGCAATTAACATCTTTGTGAAACCAGTCCCAATGGTTCTGATCATGTCTGACCATTTGTGTATCGATCAGTTGACACTGATGTTGGACTGATGAATATCACAGCCCAACATGACGACCATTCTGGCCGCCTTTTTTTGCATGTTGATAATCTCGGAATGAGTCAACCTCCTTCAAAATCATACTTCGGGGAAACAAACATCAGCGATTTTGATGTTAACTGTAGCGCAAGGGTTTTGTACAACATGATCCACCTGAAAGAAATTGCGGCTTCATATGATACTTATGATTTAAAGACATTTAAAGACTAAATATCTGGAAATATGACCAACTTAGCTACTTTTCGATGAATTTAGTGTTGATCCAGTTGATCCATTTCCGCCCTATTCAGTGACGCCTTCCTTTCAGCCATTAATGGAGCACCGGCGCCCTCAGTGTGCACCTAACGAAGGAGCAGGGATTGGTTGGTCTCAAACATGGGGTGTGTTTGAAAATGAAGGATTCACATGGATTAACCATGATTCATCTCCCAATGGCCATTGAAATGCGGATAATATGAGATAAACATGATTAACTAGTGGATTCAGACGTTCACGATTTTCAGAGAAAGTCATGGAGGATTTAGCCCTTAAAACAGTGGATGACCATGCCCCATCCCAGAATTTGACCCTGAGAATCCATTGGGGAGGTTGTCCTCTTCCATCGCAACCGCGCCTCTCCTTCATCCTCAACCTCTGGCGCCCAAGATATCCAAGATGACAAAAGCTCGGCTGCAGTCGTTTTGAGGTATCCAACTGCACACCGAGTCGGGACCGTCTCCCAGGGATCCAAAAAACATCAAAACACCCAAGGGACCGCCGAGCTCGGCCCCCGTGCAGAAACTGATCCCCCGACTCCGACTTGGGACTCTGAGATGAGTCCGCCTCCCTCAACGTGCACCTGAAACGCAGCAGGGCGGGCTGACCATGGGCTGACCATGGTACCCTTTTGTTCACCAGGATCGCTGGGATTCAGACATGCTCATCCATCTATAGGTTTATATTTAAACAAACATATCATACTTCAAACCATTCGATCATCCTCCTGAGAGCTTTGCCTCGCCGTCTTCTCTCACCTCAGATATGCTATTTTCAAACCACTGCTGCTGGATGGTCCTTCCAATAGGATATATGTATAATATATACCCCTGGCAAGCAAATATAGCTGCCTGGAAAGCCTCATTCTTGTGGAATGAATGTCTTCATCAAGGATTTTCCATTGTCATGGCAATGTTTGACTAATGGAGGATAACTTAATATTGTATCAACGGGTATGACTATTGAAATGTAACTCCTGTATGCACAGCACTATATACTATACAAGATACAAGTGTGTGCCAGTGCGGGAAACATCAACAGGTTTGAGAAATGCAGATGTGTCATGATTATGCTTAGCATTATTGCATTGTATCTGGGTGAATTTTAATATTTCATGAACCTGAAAAGTTCGGCAATTTGGGGATGATTCCCGATACGCTCATCATCATGATTCCCGTGAGGTCACAGTGAGGTCACTATAAACCAGTTACATTCCCTTGTATCACCATTATATTCCGATATTTGCTAGTTAAATCCCGTTATATTCGCATTATATCCCAGATATTCCCAGATTGTATTGCAAAAGACTCAGCTCTTGGTCCCAAGCTTCACGGGCCCGCTGAGGCCCCAGCATCTGTAGCGCTGGAACCAGACTCGACGCTAACCTGTGCCAATATTCCACAAGTGTTCAAACCTCTTCATCCCATTCACAGAATCCTAGATATCCTAGATATCCTGCCACAAAGGTGAAACAAGCTTTAGCTGATGAGATCTGATGAGCATATTTCCCAATTGAACAACGACCACATTGACGGACCAGACCAGGCTTGATCAAGCAAGGGTGGACTTGTCTGCTGTGATTTGGCCATTGCGCCTCTCCCTCACTTTTGGCCTGCACGTCGCATGAGTAGCGAGGAAAACATCTGCTGAACCCCAGCATTCATCGTTGAGCTCGAAAACGACACTCTTTTCATTCCTTCATAGAAGTGCAACATTAGGAATGCCTTGGTCAGAGACACACCACCAAGACAGCAATCTGCTGCAGTCTTCCAATTTCCGTAGTTGCCAGCCCTGAATCCCTTGTCTCTAAGTGGTTTCTCTGCTTATCATTGCTTATCTTGATATATCTACAGGGACACAGCAGTAGTAAGTCCTCAACAACTCGTAGCAGCTGACCCATTGGTACTATTTCTTGACTTGACTTGGATGGATTTATTGCTGGAATTTCCAGCCATTGAAACCCAAGAGACGTCCCGAACTTTGCCGCCCACACTTTTTTGCGGCTGCCAAAGGAGCCAATTGCTCTAAGGCTTTGTGTGACACGCAATCACTCTCTTTCATGACCTTGGCCGCTTCAAATCTGGGCAAGAACCACGTTTCAATAAAATTCCACAAGAAAAACAGCTACGGTCACCTTGAAGCACTGTAGCTAACTGTGGCTTGCAACTTTCAAGTTGTACGGTTGCTTTGGGGCCCAATTCTTATGGGACACGTCAACACTTTCAGACAGAATCTGATGTTTTCGAGCCACTCAACTCGGAGCGGGTGCAGCTGGTGCAGCCGGAGCTGGGGCCTGGCAGAGCAGTCCCTTGGGACCTCAAAGGTCCAGCTTGAAATCAGACATTTCCTATACATTTCTGCTTTGGACAGTAGTTTTCCATAGTTTTCCAAAGCCCATTTGGGCTGAGGCAGGGTCTAAGTTGGAGGGTACATCACCATGAAAGCCAGTGACATCCATGGAGGCGTTGGATCCCCTTTTTTGACCTTTTTGATAGCCTATAATAGCCTACATATCATGCTCCACATGCCACAGAATGTTACCTAATCTATTTCTATATGTGCATATTCGGGGCATACTGTAGATGTCTATACATGGATAGAGTATCTTTGATTCAAATACACCCACACTATCCAGCAGACAAACTGTCCCAAGGAAGTCGCGCACAAATACATACTGTATTTGTCTCACACAGTAAATGTGTTTTTGTCTCTTTTCTCGGTCATCATCATGATTTCCAGAAATTTTAGAGTGGTAATGAACCATAATGAACCATCATACATAGTGACACATACTTGTATCTTAATTTCCAAACTCAGCATTTTCGGGCCCATCATCAACCATCATTTCCCAGTCCCAGGCTCCGGAGCGGCTTCTACACCTGGACATGGTGGTAACGGTTATGGCAACGGAAATCGAATGGAAAATTGGACAATGCTACTGGAATGCCACTGGAACATGAAAACACATTTTTCATGTTCCAATGGGACATGAAGTACAATGTTCCATCCTTTTGGTCAGTGTGTTTTCGTTTTGTAAGGTTTTGTTAGGTTTTGTTGGATCAACTATCGCTTTGTTTTGCTAGTGGTTGCCCTGCATATAAACAAGCCACTTCCCTGCCAAGTTGCAGGTGCAAAAATCACCTACTAACAGAAATTGGTGATGCACTTGGCAATTGCTGCTCTGTTATGTTTTGCTTCTTTCTTGATGTGTCAGCCGTGTCAGCTGGTCATTGAGAGCCTTCAAGATCTGCCAGATCCGTCAACCAATTCTGACAGATGGCTTTGTCTAATGGCAATTTTGCCGGGGCTGTATCATCCACTTTCAGACACATCCAAATGAATCCAAATGAATCCAAATGAATGTCCCATTAAATCACCATAGAACAATGTTGCTTTCCCATTGACTTTTCGTTTTTTTTTTTTAACACGCGTTTCCTATATTTTGACCCATCCCTGTTTCCATCCCAGCCAATATCACCTGGTGCACTTGGCGCAGCTTCACTTGGAACTGCTTCGCCTGCTTCGCCTTCGCCCGGAACTTCAGGGCCAGCCTCACCTGTACGTCTCAAGTTGTCCCAACATTTAGGGAAAAACATGGGAAAAGTCACAACTTTCATGGGTTTTTTTCATGGACATATCCTGGAATATCATGTTTTTTCACAAGTTCTTTTCGCCATGAAAAGATCACCACCGTGGGGGTATGCTAAAGTCTTGGACAAACCAACTGTCGGACTCTTTTTTCTATCACTTTAAAATCCTTTTTCCCGTGAGCTTTTGGGTAAATCCACCATGTTTGGAGCCATTTGTTGAGATCGGCAATTCTGCAGCTTTGACCATCAAACCCAGTCTGGCATGGTCCGTGAATTCATCTAGAAAACGATGGAACATATTGGAACCGAAAGACACAAGAAAACTCTAGAGAAGTCATCGTATGTGAATGTGGCTTCTTGATTTTTCTTGTTGGCATTTTTTTGGACCCTGCCTTGCACTTGGGTCCGAAACTTGGGATGACTATGGGAGTGTGGGATACCAAAAAGTGGTATGGAAGTGTGATGCCAAAAATTAGACTTTTTGCGATCTCGCACAAGTAGCACTAGAAGCATCCACTACCTCCTCGCCCCCACGCCAGTAAACATGCCAACTCGCCAAGTGTTTCTTAGTGGATCTTAGTGGAATAACACTACGCAGTCATCATAATTTCCTTTTCCACAGGATCGCAAGCTTGAGATATCCAGAAACTCGGACGAACCTTATGACATTTGTGGCCCGAAATGAAGAGATGCCCGTTGAACTTTTTTTTCTCGCTATGCAACATGTTCCACGATGTTCCAAGCTGTCAATCTGGCCGGTGATGGCTGATGAATCTCATGATATCTCGAGGAAACCTTTCCACCATTGGACCATACAGCTACCCCGGCACCTTCCGCGACAGCAGGAGGCATATCTGGAACTTCTCCAAATTCTTCTGCTCCGGGTGGCGGGTAGTACCATCCTTCTTCATCATAGTAGCCCTGCAAGGCTATGAATCACTGTGTTTGTACCGAAGTGACATAACACACACTTCGTTTAAGGTTGGAATGGATTCAACAGATGCAATTAAGGCCACGCAATGGGGTAGGCTGGGTCTTTTGAAGACAGAAGCAAGCAGGCAGTAGACTGACATACCATCATAATCATCATAAATTCATCATACAGATCGAGCAAGAGATATTGTTGTCACAGGCTCAAGTTTCTTGCCACAACGTGTTGTGCACGTCATGTCGGGGTTGCCCTCCTCTTCCTCTGTATCATCCTTGTCTTTCCTTGGGAGGCTGAGCCACAAGGGTTCCATTGTTCTGCTCATTCCTGTTCTCTTTCCCTTGAACTCTGAAGGAACCGTCCTATCCTATCCTATCATGTGTCACTCGAAGCCACTCAGGAATGGGTAGGGAATTAATAGTATGATATGGCGGTTGTGACCAATAAGAATGGGACCGTTCCAAACTCTCCATTTTTGTTGACTGAAATTGCAATATATCGCCATCTTTGTGTGTGAAATCCCCAAAGCTTGTATCAATAACTGGCAGGTCCCATTCACAAAGAGCTAGCGTCTTCTTCTTCTTTTTCTTCTTTCGTTTGCCTTGCGTCAGCTTCGCCCAGGCTTCCTCAACGTGTTTTCCTGGCAGACTGTGACTCGGGCACGCCGACGCTCTGGCAATCCGCTGAGAACAAAGATGAACGCGGCACCTGCAATAATCGGATGCCCCTAATCATATATTCAATATCCCCGTGTGGAACCCCAAAATGAACAAATCCAATACCAAACCATGGTTTCTAGAGGGGCATTTAATATTGAAGGGAACAGGGAAGGGATTAGATTCCACTCACTCAAAACTATTGCTTCATTTTGATCATATGTCGAAGCATCTAATTTTGGAGGTTGGTAATTTTAGCCTGTAGCCAGACGATTCGCAGATCTCTCTGCGGACTCTGGGCGGTCCTGATTCTTTCTTCACCTTTAAGGTGTCATCTGCTGCATCGAAGACAGCCTCCATGATCCAATTCGTCGTCACCATGTTGGTGAAGACGCGCACGTAGACAATCTTCAAAATGGACACCCCCAGACTCCCAACGCGTTGCTGAAAGGAACCCCAGGGGGTTCAATGGTGCTGAGTTGCTGGGGGGTCCAAACATGACGGGAATGTACGCCTCAAAATATGGCTATATATGACAATAATTACATGGCAATTTTGAAGGGAAATATACCATAGGAATAGACCCCTAAGCCTGTCCATTGTTGTGACTCTGGCAATGCGCCTCAGGAGTCTTTGGGTGATCACCGGATCTAAACAGTACTAGGTGGGCACGAAGAACAGTTTCATGAGTTTCCTCATCGACACTTCACCACATGTTTTCATATGTTTGAAGATTTCCACTGCAAAAAGGGCGCCAAGATGTGGCTTGTACACATGATTTTTCTGCCGCGCCTAATGGGGTCTTGTATCTTCTTGATGATCGCATCCTTAGCGCCACTCGTATCCAGCTTGACGGAAATCTTGGCAGCATACATCAAGTACATCGTGTGCCTGCGAGTCGCGATGCCCCGCGATGGTCTTGTTCCACTGGTGGGAAGGGATAAAAACATGACACCTCTGCTGCCACACGGACAATGAACAATCTTGACAAGACAAACCATGAAAAACTATCGTAAAACATCATAAAACCACAGAAAACATCGCCTACTATCCATAAGTTATCCATCACTTATGGATAGTAGGTCTTCCAGGGATTCCAGGTCAGCCCAACCAGCCCTTGCTGCCAGCAAACGCCACGAACAAGCCAGCTCCAACGAGGAGGAACATCTGCTTTCTTTTATTCACCTGCGGCCACAAACCCTTGGTGCTTCGTTGATCCCCTGCAAACATTCGTCTACACCCCCACCAAAAAAAGGAAAAAATGCAAAATACATCAAAATACAAGTGTCAAATGCCAATTACAGTCATCATCCAATTCATCCAATTCATCCAATTGAATTGATGCCTACTAAACGGCCGTCCTGGGATTTTACCAATGGAACACATCATGAAGTCAGGCAAACGTCGATTCTTCCACCCAATCACCAAAACACCTCGAATCATATTCAATCATATTCACTATCTAGTTACCCATAGTTCCCACCATCGTTCCCACCATTCACTATCTATTTATATCTATTTATATAGATACACTATGTAAGACTATGGCAATCCGATCCAATTCCCCAGCCTTCTTCGTGGCTTTCTCAAGTTTCTTGGAACTCTTCACATCAATCGCCACCTCTCCCATGTAAAAGTCCATGGCTCTCCAGCCCGCAAGGGCACACATGCAAAGGCTCAGCAACGGACTGCCACCAATTTGCGAGAAGAACACAAAGATGAAGAGAATACCTCCAACATCAGGGCTTGCAACATGTATTACTATGTTATGTTACTATCTTGTATTTCAACCTCAAATCATCGCAAACTTTTTGATCCCTCAGGGCTTGTCGTTTCCGATGTTGAAACATCGTGACGAATTCTGCCTGGAAGTGTCACGAAGACGGTAATGGACTGCAAGTAGCCTGGCAAACCTGGGCACGATAGGCTGACGCATCATGGACTATGTGCTGTACATATGCATATAATACACATGTGCTGTTTGCATATGGTGTATATATATATTTATGTATATATGTATATGTATTTCTCTGTATATATATATATACATAATATGATATTATCTATATACATACTTGAACATGCGTATATCAACATCACATACATACCAGGTTACCATTGCGTAACATTACATACCATAAAATATCATTACATACCACTACACCCCCTTACATACCGTTACCTACTATTACGGCCAGGCGCTGCGTGTTGCCCAGAAGTTTGCAGGGACGTTCCCGGCATGTTTCATGATGATGATGATGATGGTGGTGGTGGTGGTGGTGATGATGACGAACATGACGAACATGATGAACATGATCATGATCATGATCATGACAATGATGAAGGTGAAGATGAAGATGAAGATGAAGAAGATGATGATGATGATGACGACGATGACGATGACGATGCCCCATGTCAATATATTGTTCAGAGGGGGGTGGCAGATTTTAATCCCGCATGAAAATATCTTAACATGTTATGACCTATTTCAATACTGAATCAATTCAGATGATTTGACAGATCATTTCATGGTGGCTCCATCCAGACTATACTGGGTTCGCAAGTTGTACTGGGCACCATCATCAGCATCATCATCATCATCATCATCATGTTGATCAGCATCATGATCACCATGATCATCATGATCATCCAACATCATCCAACATCGTAGTTGCGTGTCTGGGCAACACGCGGCGTCTGTGGGTACTATTAGATTCCATTACATACCATTACATACCATTACATTACATCACCTTACATCACCTTACATCACCTTACATCACCTTACATCACCTTACATCACCTTACATCACCTTACATCACCTTACATCACATTATATACATGTGTTCATATGTATGCACAAAAAGATTCATAAAGATATATCATCCTAGGCAATGCATCTGCTAAATTTCTGCCTGGAAGCAGGATCTGTACAAGACAGACTTCACGTTGGTCACACCGGCTCCCATACCATCCACCACGCCCAAGATCAGCGAAGCCAAGGGCAAACTGTAGCTCACAGCACAGTACCTCAACACCGGTTATCACCGATTGCTATTGGGTATCCCCCAGCAAAAAACACAGACCTAACCTGGACGTGGCTGGAAAATCATCATGTTGGACATGAACTATATCTATGGATAGGAATGTGTGTTTTTAAGGAATGTGTGTTTTTAAGGAATGTGTGTTTTTTAAATGTATTTTCCTTTTCCAAGGACATTCTCGCATAGTACACGCAAAATTGGATGGTCAAAATCTGTTGGTCGGGCTGAGCAAAGGCCACTTGCGACATCCAACACTACCAGAACAACCCAGGATCCATAGCTCACCATGCATAGAAACCTTCAGTCTCTCAGCCAAAAAATCCTTGTCATCTGTTAATTCAGAAGCCCAACTTCCATACCCAAGTATCGTAGTGTTTCTTGGTTCTTACATGGACTGACCTTGGGAACCCGCCTGTCAAATCAACCAAGCAAAATAACAAGTCTTCCTGGCTAAGGTCTTGGGAACATACTAACTGCTGTGGTCACCAAGACGTAGCAAAACGAGCACATCTTCATTGCGGCAATCATCAACGACTTAAAGGTGCAGATCGCCTTCGAAGGGTGATGCTTTCAAGGTATGTCTGGACGTATCTGGAAATAGTGAATCTACAAGATTCTACACATATCTATCAGTTTTGGTAGTTCCATCAAAATGAAGCAGATCGTGTTTCCAAACTCTGCGCAGCACTGACATGTCACATTTCAACCCGATCGGATCTTCAACCGTCCCATTCGACTGGAGGTCGAATCAGCGATCACATTTTCGTTGGCTTTTTGAAGGTTGGTTGATAGGGACCTAATGCCCAGTTCATGGATTATGATCATTTTAAGATATTTTAGTATAGTGGGTAGTATATCCAACCAAAAATCAACCACACATATCCACACATCATTTATTTGACTATACCAGAGCGCTAAAACCCTGATAGATGATGGTTAAGTCCCCATTGAAGAACGAACCGACCAACTAATCAACTACACATTCTCTTGTTGATTATCCCATATCCCAATTTTCCATGGGGAAATCTCCACTGATTCACTACAATTAACCAGGCTTACAAATTCGTCGTCCATCATATCGCCAGTATATCCTGGTTATATTCACATCATCTCCCATATTGTAGCCAAAGGTGAGATCCCCTTTTTTGGGCGAACTAGTGTGGTAAACCCAATCATTTTACCATCACCATCCCCAATAGATGCTTATCATTGGCTATTAAAAATGGGTAGATCATGGGTACTTTCCCTCCTTTCCCGGGTCCGCCTCCTTTCCCAGGCCAGCGCTCAGATCGGGCGCCGCTGTTTCGAGCAGCTCCTGACGCTAAATCCAGAGGAAACTCCGGGAAAATCCACCGAGAAGTTGTCAGTGGCGGCAGGAATCGATAGGGGAAACTCATCAAACTCAATTACGGTTTGAATGGGAAGTCCCCGAAGTAAATGGCATCTATACATGGGAAAATCTATTGAACTATATTGAACTATTGGGGATTGTCCGAAGGCAATGATTACCAAATGGTGCAGGAAACCTGCTGCTTTTTGCGAACAAAAACAGGGGTTCTGGCTTGAATATACAGTAACATATCATCCAATTTTGGATTTGGTAGCTTTATGCTGCCCCAAACTGATTATAACTATAATATATATATTATATATATAATATATATATATATAATATATATATATATTATATATATAATATATAATATATATATACTATATATATATTATTTGTATAAACACTTTTCAATCCAATTGTTGGCCTACGTAGTTCTAAACCTAGCCATTTCCGGGGACCTCTTCCTGTGAAGCTTCTCCCAGTGACGGAACAAACATGATCAACACCTCTGAAGCCTGGGGATTTCGTGGGGATGGAAACTATGGAAACTAGGTCCAACCACTGGAACAAAGTCAAATCCTTTCTTAAGACCGTAGCTTAAACATGGGAGATGTAACACAAGTATATGAATATATATATATATATTATATATAATTATATCTTATATATAAATAAATATATATGTTTATATATATATATATATGTTTATACATATATATGTATATTCACCGTGCGTATATACATACAAATAGTCTATATACATGTCTGTACTGAATCTCATTGCATATACTCATACGTTCTATCCGCCGAAGCGGCCGACAGAAAGTGTCTCCTGTGGCTTGACCGGCTTCGAAAACTGGCCGTCGGGGCCCACAGAGACACTGTCGCGCTGCCTCAGGGTCTGATAATGGTTTATAATGGTTGAGAATGATCAAATCAATGGGTTGATCATGATTATACAATCATGACTAATCCATGAATGACATTATCAATGGATTGGCTGGAAGATGTTTTTTTTCAAACTTGGAGATGCCCGTAAATGTGCCATTTATTTTTTTGTTGGGGGAGTTGTAGAAGTCTTTCAACCCAACAATCCTATGGTTCGCCATCATTTTCCCATTGAGCTGGCCATGAATTGGGGCCATACAACATGTTACCTGCAACCTGGAGAAACCCTGCGAGAAACTATGAGATGTTGCTTGAAATATATTGAAATCTATTGCAGTAGACCTGGTTGGTAAGCCAACCCAAACGCATCAAGCCAGGCCTCTGGGGCCCGACATCCCAACCATCCTCGCCTGAAGAACTTCTGGCGACTGGCTGGTGCCTTTTTTTCGCTCGTGCGCACGCTTTCCTGGGCAAAAGGTGTCAAACATTGCGGCTTTTCCTACTCAAATGGGCAAAGAAAGCATCAAGTCTTGTCAATATCATTCAATAGAAGCACTCCAAGAGCACTGGTTTTCCCGTAAGAAATGACCAATCTAGGTTATTTTGGGGTCCCCAATTTTACAACAGGCCCATGCTGTCACTGGGCTGGCTGCTTTTGTTGGAAAACCGAAACGATGGGTTCTCACAGTCAGGAGGGGCTGCTGGATAAAATCGTGCAACACTGGCTTCCAATTCTTGCCTTGACCCCCCAAGCCAGAACGGAGTGGCTTCCACGCCTACTGTCAAGAGCTCCAATCACTAGCAATTGGAAACAGATCCACATTTTAGCACCCGTTTTTTGGGCTTCCACAAACATTGAACGATTGGGGTCTATTCTTGGATTTCCCACATTAGCAACTTTTTTAGAGATGCCCTGGCCACTTGCTGCCAACCGCAGGCCCATCCCTGCAGACCAAACACTGGCAGGGGCCAAAAGAAGTCACCTCCAGACAGCGTCCGAAATGAAGCCATGCCTGGGAACCCAAGAAACGTCGCAGTTGTATCATGCAGTTGTGGACCCTCCAAGGCACTGGCTTTTCCGTTTGATCATGTGAACCCTTGAGCCCTGGTTGTCAGCTTATAAAATTCCAGCTAGGTGAACATCCACCCAGTTTATCCCATTTTCGGGAGATGCCCTCCTCCCCAGTGGATGGACCATCCCCGGTTGATGCCGCTCAACGGCGTGCCAAAGAACCTGCCGCTTGAACTTCCTTGATGATCTGTCTGGCTCTTGCGGCCTGGCTTTCACAATCACCTGGTCCTCTGTTCTCATGTGCATTCAACGAATCCCAAAGGTGACCCCCCAAAAAAATAGGTCAGCACATATCAGATGGATGATATATGATGATATATTCCCTTAGGATGATATTCAATATGCCCAGTTAGTAGTGCTTATTGGTGATTGCAGTAGCAAGCCTTTGCTCAACCCATTTCGACTTGCGGGAGTCGCGGAAAAGACGGGTGGCTGATCCCCATGAACCACGACCAAACCGTGGCCTGGGCGGTACTTTGGTGCGTCATGTTCTGATAGACCTGCCGACAGTCATCAAAAAAAAATGATAAAAAGTCCACTTACACATCTGAACCAACCCCCTAATCACCCTGGGTAAACAATTCCAATAAACATAAGTAAACCATTTGTGGGGACGATTTTGGCCAATCGCTGGGATGAGGTCAATCACCGGGGGTATCATTTTGATTCGGATCCCCAAATCTCTCTCTTCTCCCATCGCCCCCAACTGGAAATTGTGGCAGTAGACATCTTCTATTTATGTCTTTAGAAACCAACTGCGCCAAACTCAGAAACAATATCAATTTCAGATGTTCACTGATGTTCACTTATGATACTCTCTAAATATGGCTTTAATATGGCATCATTCATTGCGGGTAACCATTCAACTGGATCCTACATGATCCTACACGTTTTGTTGTCCTCGCGCCTTGATGAGCTTCTGCCGGAGAGATGCTATAGAAGGCTCGTTGCTGTCGATCGAGAAATGCTGTTGGATCCAATCGCCTGCCACGGAAGCGATCGTTTCTGCGACACCAGAACTGAAGCCACAGAAAAATCCTGCGAGTTCTGGTGGTTTCATCCCATTTTTTGAGGTCTTGGAAATCGGGATAGAAACTGAGGAACAAATAATCAATTGAGATCAATCTCAAAATATCAAGATATATCAAGATAATCTACACCTGCCTCAGAACTCACTTTTCTCCCAACAAAAAAGACATGGTCCTGGCCTTCGAGCAAGGATGCAGCATCGGCTTCGCCCACGGCCTCAAGATTCTCCTTCGTGATGCTTGGGTCCTTCAAGCAAAGGAGCTTAAAAAACGCAGCCAACCCCCCAGTTGTTGGGGTAAGGGTTGTCAACCACCAACAATCATCCAAAACAATCATTATAAGCTGATTTATTATAAGAAATATAACCCCAGTTGATTTTGCCAGACTTATCAACCACCAACAGTCAATCAGGGCCTTTCTACCGCCCTTATGATGGTGATTGTTGCTTGAGATTCGCCAGTTTTTTCCGCCACTTTTCTGGGATCACCTGACTGGGCTGCTGTCGGAGGATTCTCCAAAGATTTTCCTCCCAGTTCTATGGATCCGGTTTCCTCTAGAAAACAATTTCGTCCCATCCCTATCATCTTCACGCCATTCTCTATGTGGGGTTTAATACACGGGAAGAAATTATGCCAATGTTAGCATCAATGTACCAATATCAATACTGAAAAGAAAGACTGGAATCAATGATAACATACTGATACATGATATTCAGTATCCGCCAATGTATTAATGACATACTATGCACATATACAAACTAATGTTGACATTCAAATCTATAATGGTCATCAATATCAAAATGTTACGATCAATAACATAAATGCCTCCAATAGAAATGATGTAGCATAAACTATGTAAACGAAATAACATAGCATGATGCGAGATAGCATGATATAAGTTCACATCACATATGTATAGTACAGTATCATGAACAACCGATATAATACCGTAAGACATGGTATATCCGAATCATAATGTCAATATGTGTATACCTGTATATACTGTGTATATATATATATCATTATATTCCTGTATACATATATACATATTATATATATAATTAATTGTGCTCGCTCTCAGCTTGTTTTCATGCCGCCAAGACGAAGGTCTTGCAAAAGAGACTCGTGTCTCGACCTGTTGAATTCAAAGATCTTTATCGTCCATGCCCTTGCAGGCATCTTTGAAACTGACTTATGTACCTTCCCCATGCAGGGAATGATTTTCTTCCAAGCAGAAGACACAAATGCACGATTTCGGAATCAGCATTTGAAGAAGTTCTTATTTCCCAGTCATTATCCACGCTTCCCAACAAAGTGACCACGCTTCATTATTGAAGTGTCGCAAAATTGAATTTCAAAAGCATACGACGGGATTTTTCGGACATTTTGATGGAAGGAAGGTGAGATAACGCATCATTGATATAAAGTTTAGCAACTCGACTACTCTCCCACCTTCCACGAAGGAGCGTGGCCTCCATGGATTTGGATTGTTGAAATGTCAGAGTTGCTCCTCCTCGTCTGAGGCTGTAAGGACGAAAAAGTAAATGCTCAAGATGAAACAACTTCATCAACTGATTGAAACGCACTCGAAACTGGGCAGAAGAACCTGACCAAATTGTCCAGTGCAAGGACCTGGCTGTTCGGCGCCTGTCAACAAAACATCGCACCACTTCCAACGTTGTAAGGTCTGTAATGCTTACCATTTCGTTGACACTATTTCTACGACCTGATTTGGTATCCTTCAAAGCAACAATTCCGGAACGGGCTCCCAGACTAAAATCGGAACACTGCAGTTTGAGGAGTTCTCCTGTACGGAGTAAACAGTGAAACCCAAGGAGCAAAAGGCAAGACATCTCATAATTTCCCATCTGCCACTCATACGCAGAAAGGCTGTACACGATTGGCTTTGTCAAGGGAGGAGCGCGATTCGGAATTTCAATTTTTCGCCATGTGGCGAAAAGACGCCAGGCATGTGGTACCAATCTTTTTGTCCAGGGCTGAAAAAATGACAAGCTACTAAGTCCATCCCCCACTGTGAGTGAGGGCTCTCCGTCTTTCCACATTCGACGGACCCAGCGTGACATCCAAACATCCAGCTGCTGCGGGGATTCGACCTGTTCAAAATAAGGTATCAACTTTCTAAGTGCCACATAGTATCGACTTCTGGTCTTTTCGCTCAATCCAGCGTCATCAAGATTGATTCGAGCCCGTCGCTTGGCCCGCTCTGCTCGGCTGAATCTGCCAGCGAGCAAGACATATTTCATCACAATCTTGACCCCTTATCCGTCGGGTTGTCAGAGGAGTCTACATGCCCCATGACAAGTTGTAACCCATGTGCCAACAATAAACAGTTGATTATCCGCAACACCCTGGAAAGTTGATCACTGCTGGTGCGCCCCTTTGAAATTATGCTAATGCAAACAAAAGAGTCAGAGAGTTGGACAATACGTTTATCAGCAAAACCCAGTTTCTCAATCTGATGCTTTACCCCCAATAAAATTGCACGCATCTCCAACACATTAATATGAGCCTTGAATTCCCAACGCTTTGAGAAAATGTCCTGCCAGAGCCACCATGCCGACGCTACAGATTGCCGAGGGAAAACTTTTCCCCCAATGATTTCACCTGATGCCAACCTTACGTCAGACCCTGTGTGATTAGTCTTGCGAAGTAAAAGCCTATTCAGTTTTCCCATACCATCATTGTAAACTGCCGGGGGGATTGAAAGACAACCATATTGCAAACAACGTTTCAAAGGTGCCGTGAACCGTAAAGGTGCACGGAATCCGGGCGCCAACCCCATGCGCCCAACCAAATGTCGAAAGGGGACCGTTGGCAAAAAGTGTTTGCTCAAAACCACAGCCCAAATTGCAAAAGAGATGATGCTAAAAGATTCTCCCAATCCAGTATGCCTAGCGTCATCAAATCCTTGTGGATTCTGTTTTGCCGCAGAAGCTGCCCATGCTACCTGAGTGTGTCCGAAACCGAACCCCATCAGAAGCTCTTTTTCTGAAGCGCTCAGCAACCTCCAGGTATGAGGTGTAGAGATGATAAACTCGGGCCGGTATTGATATGGCGGATATCTGAATTTGTCTTCTGTCCAGCGCTCCAACACACTGGGCGAACACCGTTCAATCCCAGCAGGTTTATAAGGAGGAGAAAGTTTCGGAACACATTTCATACATGTTGGAAACACGGCATGTTGTTGCTCCCCTTTCCATTCATGATCGGGTTCAAGCCATTGTTCAGTGAGCGGATACTCTGCCTCTGCTACAACTTCTTTCCAGTATGCTTTTGGGAAAACTTGAATGTCAGGAAAAACGCTTTCAAGTATTTCTGAACTCCAACAGTAGCGAGGCCGCCGCATCGGCACCGCTTGGACGGGGTCAAGTAAGTAGGGGGTGCTCCCCATTTCTGTGCTAATCTCTTCAGTGGCTTCTCGGTCCATGCTTGCAACATTCTCCAACACATACTTGACAATAACATGTTCTCCAAAATTGTCTTTCACCAGTTTCAACACCCTGGGAACTTCCCAAAATAAAATACTGGCTGGCCCGTCCAGATTCATGCGGCCTGCCCGTGCCGACGAGAGATCATTGCATGGAAAGCCGGCCCAAACATGCACTTCCGCTATGCGAAGATAGCGGCGAGCCCAACTCTGCACTATTTCTGCATCAATGCTCCTAATGTCCAAATAAATCTCAGTTCCAGGCCATCGCTTCTCTGTAATGCGGTTACCCGCTTTGTCAATGTCCACTGCAATCCGACCCATGGGCAAAACTCCTGCAATGTCATAACAACGAAAGGCTCCACCTATGCCGTTAAAAAGACTAATAATTAAAATTGGCGCCGCTAGTGCCTCATCAAGTTGCTCCATTGTTTCTGCCGTTGCCACAAAATCTCGGCCAACGCTAGTCAATTCAGACGAAATCCCCACAGCGCCACCTGTTTCAGAAGCATCAGTTGCAACCACCGCTTCACTGCACTCTGCACCCAGGTTGCAGTGAAGCAGCGGTGACAACAACATCACACTAAACATCTCTCGTTTGGCTGCAAGCCGCAAATCCCTAGTCACTCTAATTGAACCACCAATCACCTTCCACACTTTGTCAAAAATCACCATGGCTGGACGTCGAAATTGCAAGACGAACACCCAGCGCCCCGCTAGAATCTGAAGCTGTTTCTTGTTCAACAAACGTTGCTTCAGCAGCCAAAGAGTAGCCACCGCAATTTTGCAAACCTTCTCCTTGGATACCCCCAGAGTTTTTAATTCTCCATCAATTTCAGCACCCAGTTCTGTTACCCTGGACGCAGCTGAAATCCGTTTCTTCTCACTAGAGACTACGCCTGCATCACGCCACGCATTCTCTGCCGCATCATGGCACATTTTGCCAGATACCCCTGGATGATAGGGGTCAATTCTTTCTCCAGCACAAAAATTGTCAAGATATACATGCCACCAACATCGTTCTGCTGTAGTTGCTTCTGTGAGTAATTGATTGAACCAAATAGGCAAATGTTTACCCCGCATGACTTGGTTGAGTCTATTGAGCTTCTTTTGTTTCAGTAAGTTCTCAGAAATCTCCTGCATCACTCCTACTGAATTAAGCCATCCCATTGGAATCACTGCACATGAAAGCGCAAATTGTCGATCATCGTCAAGTCCTAGATCCAATCCAGAGGCAATGATGTTGAAAGCTAGATGTGGTTTCCAGCAATCGGGAATTCGGAACAGGTAAAAAGCCGAAGACATATCACTTTGAAACAATTCAAGTTGAGAATCTCCTTCCAAAATGATGCTCTACCAGCTAGTTATCATAGGAAGTGAACGGCAGCCTCCTTCCAACTGCAACTGCGTTGAATTTGACCCTGTCAGGTTCATGATGAGCCGAAGTACAGGGCGTCCGTCATTCAAGGTTGTTGATTTCTTAACCCCAAACAAGCCATTAAGAATCTTCACCCCATTTATTGAATAAACCTTTTCCAGCGGAACCCAATCGCAAATATTTCTACGGACTAATTCAAAAGCAATCCTCATTCGATCAGCCTCTACCACATGGACCTTACCCGGCAACCTAGGCAACTCTACTGTGTCTGGATCTCTGAGAAGTTTGGAGGGATGAAGGAGGAAATCACGGGTTGCAGGACCTACCCAATCCAACGCGTTGACACAGCCACCATGCTCTTCTGGTGGTAATGCAGGTACTACCTGATCCCAAGATAACTGATAACAGACAGAGATTTCCTCCCCTGAATAACTAACCTGTTTGCCGCACAGCTCCTTTTGCCACGCCATCTCGCTCAACGGCTCCAACCCTACGTCACCAGCGCAGCGGCGTCGCACTGCGGCTGCAATGCTGCCAATCGCACGACGTTCAATTGACGTCCAACGTCCCTGAGTCAGCACGGGTGCAAACCCAGCGACACGGTTCAAGCAGCAAGCGGTAACATATGTCCAAGCCTCAATCCTCCAGCATGCCACAAACCCTTCAGCTGTAGCTTCCTGCAAGGAAAGTGAACGGATCCGGTCTAACACACCATGCAAGTCCCCCTCTCTCAAAGGGAAAGTCGAGCCATGTCGTCCTCGACGGCCCAACCGAGCCTTGGCGACACTCATTGAAAACCAGTCGTCAACCAGCTCTTTCAATTCATCGCCCAACAAGGCGCTGCCATGCCCGGCCCTCAGCAGCCAGCACAGCGCACACCCAAGTTTACTGTAGCTAGTGCACTGGCTCACCACCTCTTTAAACAAGGCCGGCTGCACGGGTACTGCACCCAGCGCCTCATTAGAATTTGTCGACCCCCAAGCAATGTCCGCTGGACTTCTCACTTGTCCTGCGGTTTCTCCTTTTTCTTGCCTTGCTCGGGATCTGCATCTCCCTGCCATGCGCTCGTCCACCATGAACGCGGTTTGCCCTTGCCTTTTCCTCCTTTCTTGCCTTTTCCTTTGCCCTCGGCGGTGCCCTCGCTCTCGTGCCACGTGCTCCACTTGTTCTTCCCTTTTCCTTTTGCGGGTCCACGCCAGGTGTTCGACAGATCGGGGTTGGTCACCTTGGCATTCAGCTTGGCATGCTTCCGCGCTGACAGTACCACTGAACTGTCGGCTGCAGACATCTCCTCCATGGGCATGATTTCCAAAAATCGGGCTGAGCTCCAATTCCCGTCTATCAGCGACTGATGAATGCTGATAAAACGGGAAGCCAAAAGATCTCCCAACCGATCCAGCTGCCCCTGTCGGAGCAAATCTATCGCGTTGCTCAAGTGGTGCATCTCCCTCTGTTGATTCATACTGCCAGTCAGCTGGGGTCGAATCACAATGCTGAAATAGCTCGCGATTCTCACCCCCATTGTCGGGTTGTCTTCTTCTTTTGCTGAAACTTTGTTGGTGGTGTCGAGCTGAGCCCTGGCATGGTTGACCAACATCTGTAAAACCGACCCTGGCTTGGTTTTGGAACGCTTCCTCAAAGGGGGATCCAAGTCCTTCTCCGCCTCGCCCGATGACTCGCTCGACGAGGCTGTGTAACTTGACCCGGAACTGCCTGTCCCCGAGTCGTCGGATCCTCCGCCGGGGGAACCTCCTTCTTCTTTCAAACGCTTCTTCTTCCTTTTCCTTTTCTTGGAATCCTCCTTCTTCCCCTTCATGGCCTTGGTAAGGATCTTCAAGAGCCCTTTGCTGGAGCTCTCCTTCTTGTCCTTCTCCTTCTTGCGTTTCCTCATCTTCTGCGCTGACTCCGAGGCTCTCTGCACTAGCTGGCTCTGCAAGGTTGTCATAGTACCATCTTTTATAGCCAGCAGACCCTCCTTGGAGGGGCGTCCAGAAGCCTTCTTGCTCCGGCTCCTCCGCTTCTCTCGGCCAACCCGCTGCTTGCGCTCCTCCTGTGCAGGCGGCAGCTCGATCCCCGGGACCAGCGCATCGTCCAACACAGAGGCGGAATAGCCGGGCGATGCAGAGTCGCTTGAATGAACCTCCAATGGTTGGTTGCTGCGCACGGCCGCACGGCCAGCGCCACCATCCCTGTGCTTTTCGCCAAGGATCCTCTGTCGCGACTTCTCTAGCTTCCTCCTCAGCTCTTCTCGTGAGATACTCTCCAATGGAGGAGTGCCTACTCCTACCCGTCTCGGAGCATCTTCCTCTTTCGCGGCAACATCCTTGCCCAAGCTGGCCCCAGCTTTGGGGACAGCGGCACGTGCTGGCCTCAAGGCAGGCCGGCGGATTCCTCCATCTGATGTCTCTCCTCCAGGCGGCCCATCGGCCTCTGCGTCGTCCTCTTCGTCCAGTCCTGACCATTTCTTGAGTTGGCGTTGTCCATGGGCTGACACGTAGTCGGCCTCGAACTCCTCCACTTGTATCAACCTGAACTTGTTGACGTGGCCATGCACACCCGGCGTGTCCATTGGGCAAGGATAGGTTGGGCAAAGGTGCAAAATCCCAACCCTTCGATTGAACAAGCTTGACAACTTGGTTGCAAGTGACTTCACGGCTGTGCCCACAAACTTTGCCTCCAATTCTATCCCTAAAGAGGCACCAACGCGGACGTCTGTCACCCAAAAAGCTGTCCAACCTTCTTCTATTTCCTCTCCTGGGAGCACCAAATCCTTCACTTCCATTACCACCTGACGAGGAATAACCAACGAGGACCATAACGCGTCGTCGTCGGCCGAGTACAGTGTGCCAAACACAGGTTCCTCCGTCATTGATGGTCTCTGTGACCTCCTGCACGTGACGACCTCTCGGTCGCCCGGTCGTAGTGGGTCCCGGGGGTTCGTCTATGAACCCTGGTAGAAGGCTCCTCTATAGCACGGTAGAGTCTGGGGTGCTTCCTACCTGCTCGATGGCCTCTTTTCTTTTTCTTCTTCTTCTTCCTTGTATGATCTCCTCCTCCTTCACTGTGCTCACGCTTGCGCTGATGCTCCCGCTCACGGTGAGGGGAACGAGCTTCAGTTATCCGAGGGTCTCGATCACGCTGGGGAGACCGTGCTCCAGAGGTGCGGGGTACTGCTGGTGGTGCCTTTGCAACCGTACCCGTAACCGGCTCGTCCTCTTCAGTCTCCTCCTCAGACTCTTCCTCGTAACTAGAAGCTTCAAGCTGCTCTTTCACCGGCACAGGCGGCGGAGGAGGCAGCAATAGCCTGGTGCCAGGGGGCCTGGCAATGGGAGCTGGACTGCCAGATCGGTTTAGACCCACAGCCGCACGGCGGGTGCCAGCGCTGTGTAGGCTGCTCGAGATCCCTCTCAGCGCCCTCACCGACTTGACACACCCAATGACCAGCTCGCTCGCGAAATGTCGCAGCGCTGGAGAGTGCCAAGGTGCAGTCAGCTCTCCACTTAAAGCCTCCCAAGCGCTACACCCTGTGCACCAGGTATCAGGATCGGCAGAAGCTGCTTGCCGACACTTAGCACAAGACATGCAAACAGCACCTGAAACCTGAGAGCCTAAAGAGCAATGAGCAGCATTTAAACACTGAATCTCTCTCACAAACCGTTCAAGGAACTATCTAATACATATATATATATATTATACACATGGTTCATATCATTTCATATCAATGACCCACCATTCGTTTTTCCCGCCCCCTCCTTCTCGTTGCAGAAATCTCCCGTGAAGGCATGTCCGGCACCAAAGAGGGCTGCCAACATCTCCAAGGCTTTAGGGACCACCCCCGGATACCTGTCATGCGCGGGGGCTGAGCGATTTCTTAGGGAACATCTACATGGAATCGAGCGTTAGTAGATGTTGGTAGATGTTACTTACGTAATCTCAAAGAAGGTGAACAATAGAGCGGTTTATGGCTTACTGTGTGCTGTTTTCTATGCTTTTCTTGTAAAACAAATCCAGTATTATAAACCGCAACATCCGAAAACCAATATTCCAATATTCCGTACACACAAAACTGACAGGCTGGGAAAGTGGAGCATCAGCACTGTACTTAAATTTCCACGACCAGTTCTTGGAAGGTTCTTTTCAATCCTAGACAATCTAAGGCTGGCAGCTTTAATGCAAGTCCCGGAAACTGCAATTTCATGCCGGCTCAGTTGTCTCAACATGTCTCAACTCATCCCCAATTTTTGTGAATTGACATAATCATCCCAAATAGCATTAGCATATGGATGAACATAAACATACATAAACAAAAACACAGCTGAAGCTGTCAGATTGGGACCATTGAAATCCATTGAATCCAAGATGCACCGGCCCAAAGACTCGTGGAATTTCCACATTGTGTCCATCGCCAATGTCATTCATGGCGGTCCTGCGGATCCATGCGACTGTTAAACGGGAACCACGGGGAACCACACCTATGCTGGGCAGATCCCGGTATGAATAAACCATATACAGTATATATATATATATTATATACGTATCTAATATGTATAAACATTCTGAATATATGATACACCTAACAAGCTTGGCTTGGAATTTAGGCACAGCAAATCATGTTGCAAGACATTTGACTCTGAATGGTCGAATCGGAGGCTTGACAAACAGTCCCCATCCATTTCTCGCTGAAGAGACGCGGCTGCCAATCCTCGGAGTGCGTTCAGATTGTCACATGCCCAAGACATCCCAAGACCAAAACGCAGAGGCAAAATTGTTCTGATAACGAATTGCGGATGTATCTCATAACGCTGAATATATTTCTTTTCATTAAACCTGATTGACCCGTGGGTATCCATAACTCACACCGGGGTACGGTAGCAGATTCATCTGGAGATACCAATCGGGGAACAAAACTGTGGGGTCTTCCCAAATGAAACCCAGCTACACTGGTTTTTAAATCCCAAACACGATGCCAATATAGATGCGTTGTTTGGATACGGACAGCTGCACTTCTGGCAAATGCGTGCTTTGTCTTGACACGTTTGAAACGTTCCTAGAACCGCAATTTATGTTTGTATACGTATAGTGTGTGTCTGTATATATATAATATTATATAATATATGATCACCACCGGTTTAAGGGGGGACGTACCCAAAATGTAAGCTACATTTTTCAAGGTGTTTTTGAGGGGGACATTGAAAATGTAAGCTTACATTTTGAAGGTATTTTGAAGACCCTCCCCACAAAAACAACACCTGGGGGACGTTCAGCGACCAATTTTACATTTGGGGGGGGGGGGCAAAAAATGTATCTTACATTTTGGTATGGTTCCCCCTCAAAAGCAGCGTCAAAGGGGTGGTGATTATATATAATTATATATATATATCAGTATATATTAAATATATATTATATGCTACGTAGTTATAAATATTACACATCGTTCAAAGTGTTCAATTCCGTGTATAAATCATGGCAGTACTGGTGATAACAACATATAACAACCATGCCATCATTGGTTATTGGACCCATCAGCCATCGACCCCTTCCCTGAAAGGGTTGTCCAATTTTAGAATCCCATCCAACAATAGATAATGGATGGGTTATTACAATAGATAATTCTATAATAGATAAATGTGATAATAGATAATGGATTATCATAGATCATGATATAGTGATTACAAGATATATCATAATATATCATAATATATCATAATACATCATAATACATCATAATACATCATAATATATCATAATATATCATAATATATCATAATATATAATGATCTATTCCATTGACTGCGGTTATGTCGTACACCCAATAATTTTCACTATCCCAGTAAATCCCAGGAAAATTTGACCAACCATTTGGGGTCCACTTCACCCAATTCCGGCTAGCCAAAGTTCCGTATAATATCTCCAGCACCAGTCTGCCGCGGGCGACGTGTCGAAACCTCCACGGTAGCCGGTTCAGCCCAGGATATCATCAAGATATTATCGGAATAATGTGTTTTAATGGATATAAATTACGAATTATGAATAGATTATTCATGTATTTTTTAAATGGATTCATAATGGATTATCGCGATGTGGATATAATTCGAACATCCATGAACATCTAGATTTCCATGGAGTCAGAGTCATATTCATTAAGTGAAAATGCGTCAATGTGCAAGCAACAACAACACATCACCGATCCCACTGAAGTTGAATCACTTGACCCTTGACGCGCCTGGCTCACCAAATCGTGGAGGTTTGGCCAAGGGATTTGACAAAGCGGCTGAAAGGTCTGGCCTCAGGCGAACTTCCCAAAAAACACGAGGAATTTGGCTACCAAAGATCACTTCAAATATATCTTCCACATATTTCCAAATCTACCCATGTTAATGTAGTTCATTCGAGGCGGTCTCCACCGCAAGAGTTTAGCTATGACTGGTCCTCAGTAAAGGTAGTAAAGTGACCGAGCGGCTCAGAAGCCTGGCTCGCAGCCTCCGAAAACACCAGGCTGCTCATGGGGTCATGTGCCATCATTCCAATCACAGAGGCACACCTTGGGTCATCAAAATCAGAAGCACCTGATTGATTTTGAAAAAAAGAGGATCTCAAGGATCAACAACAACGGATAACAACGGTCATCATGGTCTAATTGAGTTAAAAGTGGAAAACCCAATGTTCTTGGTTTTTGCAAATTTGGCCAAATCCCTGCCCTATAGAGGGGGAGGGACGGGGGGGACAAAACCAACCTGTCAAATTCCACTTTCCCTTGCTTGGAAACCCTGGGATAGTGATCCAACCCCTCAAATGGAATTTTAAAATAACATGCGGCCAACACACACACACATGATTGCAACGGTTCCTTGGCCCCTGCACTGAGCTCTGCACACATCTCTCTGGAAATAGTCCACGCGGAAAAAGAACGATAGTGGCACCAGCAAATATGGCAGGAATGGGCCTGAAGGGCTCTCTGAACTCTGAACTTGGGAAAAATAAAGCAGCCAAATCGAATCCATAATGTGGGTATGGATCAAACATGTGGCGTCCAATGAACCCACCCAGTTGGTCTATTTGAGTATTGAGCATAATTAGACAGCATTTTTTGAGGGTTTGACAATTTTGACCCAGACATACTCATACCATCTCATACCCATATGTCATAAAGTACAAAATTCACTCTGAACGACATCCCAAACTTGAACGGTTCCGGCGCACGCAAACGTCAGCCTAGCAGTAGGATGTCCTACGAAGGATGTCATGAAAAATCGCCAATGCATTGAATATTGATACCCTCTGGTTATGTCAAAATAGCTATTGAAAATGGCCATTTATAGTGGATTTTTCCATTAAAAATGGTGATTTTCCATAGTTATGTGGCTGTTTACCAGAGGGTATCCAGATTCTACTGGAGAAGCATAATCCAAGCGCTGAACTCAACAAACAGGTATCAATGTGGGGTCAAACGGGTACACCAGCTTTCATGCGGTCGTCCAAAGATAGGGCAGATTAGGGTTCCCAATTCTATCCCAGCAAATGGTACAGAAGGTATAGAACGTAATTCATACTTTTCCATACTTTTCCCATAAAACATATGGGTTTGTCTGAACATGCTTAGTATACCATGAATCCACTGGTTTGTTATTTCTCTTAGTACATGGTCATTTCATGGAGGTATACCCCATTTTCAGACACACGCAAATATCATATTGTTTGTCGCATATCACATTATATCCCACCATTTCCCATATACTGGCTGGTTAATCTCACCTTTTTCTCTATTACGTATCCCATTATATTCCATTATATCCCATTATATTCCATTATATCCCACGAATTTCCCATTAGATCATTAGATATCCCATGAAAAATCCTATGACACAAACCTTCCGCTGGTGATCCAAGGAGCCCATGGTGTTGAAGAACCACCCGAGGCGCGTGAGGTCGGAACTTCGTTCGAAGTTCTCGTGCTCCTTCCAGGCGCGCATGAAGATGAAGACGGCAATGACCTGGACGACATTTTCCGACCGCTCAACGCTTCAAAACCCATAGGAATCATTGTTCAACATACCCTCTGGTAAACTAACATAGCTATTGAAAATGGCAATTTATAGTGGATTTTCCCATTAAAAATGGTGATTTACCATTGCTATGTTAAATTACCAGAGGGTAGAACTATTATTGAAGGTATATAGTAATCTTTATGTATGTTTATATCATATGATCTTATATTCATATAACATTAATATATAAATCCTGTATAGTAGGATTCCAGTGGGATAATGTGTTATATGAGAGACATATATATCTTAATCATATGCACTAATGTGAGAATCTAATGATATGATATAACTGATGTAGCATGTCAAGACTACAACAAAAATAATAACAACAAATAACAACATATAATAACATATAATAACACATAATATCATTGAAACATACATTATAAAAAAAGTACCACACGGCAATTATGCTGGTTACATTCCCCAAAAGTGGCTTATCCATTGGAAAACTAATGACATGTCATTCCATCATATTCATGAATATTCTCTATGTTTCTCACAATGATTGTGGTGTGAGGCATGGGTTTCCCCATGTTTCTGTCGCTCAAGGCACTTCTCTCACTGCATCTAAGACCAGTTACACATCAGTTACATGAGATGCACGGACCTAAGGCCAATGCTGACGCCATCTCAGATGCTGTCTGGCAGGCCAGTTCGGCATAGATGAAACGCCTCGCTGAAGAGTTTGGGGACTTCAAACTCACCACCAAGTTTGGGATAGCCTATTGTTGATAATGGGGATCTATATAATAGGCTACAAACGGTGAATAACGGTGATATAATGGGGATATATATATAATTGGGGTATATATAATGGGACAGAACTGGATATAAACAATAATAGACAAACCTTGAAATTAATCCGGCCCATTTCCAAATGTGCAGGTCCAAACATCTCAAAGCACCCTGTGTCCTTCATTTTCATTCCTTTTTCCTTGGTCACGAGTTACTTAGAAAAACATTCTGCGTTGGCTTGCAACAAGAACATCCTCGTACATAGCACGATTGGTGACTTTTGTTTCCCTCAAGTGGATGGTTGAATCTGAAAAATAAACACTACCGATTGGTGCATTTTCACCCATGCCGGTGTATAGCTTTGAGCTTTGACCGTCAACCCATTTGGATCCTTCCAGCAGTCCAGAACTGGATCCTTCGCAGCCGGGAGGCGAAAAATAGGGTCGCACCATCTCTGGGAATTGATCCAATTTGTCTCTCACATTTCTCCATGCCTGGCTATGAGACAAGCTGATCTATAGATCTGATATGATCTGATCTGCAGATCTGCAGGACAGTCATCTCTCCCCTTCTCTGTTCAGATCTTGCCCATTCTTGCCCCATTTCTGCCACAACAGTGCTCCATTTCTGGTTTCTTTTTGATTAACTTCCCCAGCTTATCATACACCCAAAGCGGCCACCCACCAAAAAGATCCAAAAAGACTGTTTCAACACACCATGAAATATGATTTCAGAATTTAAACAGACCCATTTATATAATAATCAAAGGAAGTTTAGGGGGAGAAACTTCCGTGTTACGGACTTTTAGAATGTCAGGGAAAGAGTTAGTCAAAGAAAGAGTTAGCAAAGAAAGAGTTCGTCAGGGAAAGAGTTAGTCAAAGAAAGAGTTAGTCAAAGAAGAGTTAGTCAAAGAAAGAGTTAGTGAGGGAAAGAGTTAGTCAAAGAAAGAGTTAGTGAGGGAAAGAGTTAGTCAAAGAAAGAGTTAGCAAAGAAACAGTTAGTCAGGGAAAGAGTTAGTCAAAGAAAGAGTTAGTGAGGGAAAGAGTTAGTCACAGAAAGAGTTAGCAAAGAAAGAGTTCGTTAGGGAAAGAGTTAGTCAAAGAAAGAGTTAGTCAAAGAAACAGTTAGTCAGGGAAAGAGTTAGTCAAAGAAAGAGGTAGTGAGGGAAAGAGTTAGTCAAAGAAAGAGTTAGTCAGGATATGTGAGGTAGTCAAAGAAAGAAATAGCAAAGAAAGAGTTAGTCAAAGAAAGAGCAAAGAAAGAGTTAGCAAAGAAAGAGTTCGTTAGGGAACGAGTTAGTCAAAGAAATTGTTCCCTCACTGCAAATGGGATTGCAAGTGGTGCTGGTGGAGGAGTTGCCGATGGAGTTTTGAAGGAAGTCTCGCACGAAATGCGTTTTTGAGAGATAGCAGATGCACGAAAGCCTATGTTTTTCCATGCAAAGTCCGTCCCCGAACCTCAATGATCTACCTCTGCGGTGCGACGGTTGCGAGACGGTCTCGTGTGTGGTCGGATCATGCTCGGATCATTCTCGGATCGGTTCCGCATTGTAAATGGGGTGTCACCTGTGTTTCGTGCATTAGTGGTCGACAGAATTCCATTGTGATTCGCAACTGTAGGATCGTTCCCGCATTGTAAATGGGGTTGCAAGTGGTGCTGGTGGATGAGTTGCCGATGGAATTCCATTGTGATTTGCAACTCTAGGATCGTTCCCTCACTGTAAATGGGATTGCAAGTGGTGCTGGTGGAGGAGTTGCCGATGGAGTTTTGGAGGAAGTCTCGCACGAAATGCGTTTTTGAGAGATAGCAGATGCACGAAAGCCTATGTTTTTCCATACAAAGTCCGTCCCCGAACCTCGATGATCTACCTCTGCGGTGCGACGGTTGCGAGACGGTCTCGTGTGTGGTCGGATCATGGTCGGATCATCTCGGATCATGGTAGGATCATGGTCGGATCGGTTCCGCATTGTAAATGGGGTTTCAAGTGTTTTTCGTGCATGTGCGGTCGACAGAATTCCATTGTGATTTGCAACTGTAGGATCGTTCCCGCATTGTAAATGGGGTTGCAAGTGGTGCTGGTGGATGAGTTGCCGATGGAATTCCATTGTGATTTGCAACTCTAGGATCGTTCCCTCACTGTAAATGGGATTGCAAGTGGTGCTGGTGGAGGAGTTGCCGATGGAGTTTTGAAGGAAGTCTCGCACGAAATGCGTTTTTGAGAGATAGCAGATGCACGAAAGCCTATGTTTTTCCATACAAAGTCCGTCCCCGAACCTCGATGATCTACCTTTGCGGTGCGACGGTTGCGAGACGGTCTCGTGTGTGGTCGGATCATGCTCGGATCATGCTCGGATCATGTTCGGATCGGTTCCGCATTGTAAATGGGGTTTCACCTGTGTTTCGTGCATTTGCGGTCGACAGAATTCCATTGTGATTTGCAACTGTAGGATCGTTCCCGCAATGTAAATGGGATTGCAAGTGGTGCTGGTGGATGAGTTGCCGATGGAGTTTTGAAGGAAGTCTCGCACGAAATGCGTTTTTTTCTCCATTTTGGCGCTAGTGAATTTCCTTCTAAAAATCCTTTTAAAAAGTGCTTCAAAATTCAAAATATTATTTTTTTCGCTCTGGCGTTGAGATCCGGTTTTGAAGCTACAATTTCCAACGCCGTTGCGCGTATTTCTATTGTGTTTTGCAACTCACATTATAATGGCTGCGTCAAGTTTGCTTCATGCTGTGGCTGCATGCGTAATACTATTGTCTTTTGCAGCTGGACTTCGTAAATCGTATTGGAGTGGCTGCATGAAGGCTGCGACAGTGATTTGTCAGCAGATTTTCTCCATTTTGGCGCTAGTGATTTTCCTTCTAAAAATCCTTTTAAAAAGTGCTTCAAAATCGTCTTTTTTTCGCTCTGGCGTCGAGATCCGGTTTTGGAGCTACAATTTCCGACGCCGCTTGCGCGTAGTTCTATTGTGTTTTGCAACTCAGTCTCCGCAGATCGCATTGGAATGGCTGCGTCAAGGTTGCTTCTTGCTTTGGCTGCATGCGTAATGTCTTTTGCAGCTGGATCTCGTAAATCGTATTGGAGTGGCTGCATGAAGGCTGCGACATGGATTTGTTAGCAGATTTTCTCCATTTTGGCGCTAGTGATTTTCCTTCTAAAAATCCTTTTAAAAAGTGCTTCAAAATCGTCTTTTTTTCGCTCTGGCGTCGAGATCCGGTCTTGGAGCTACAATTTCCGACGCCGTTGCGCGTAGTTCTATTGTGTTTTGCAACTCAGTCTCCGCAGATCGCATTGTAACGGCTGTGTCAAGGTTGCTTCATGCTGTGGCTGCATGCGTAATACTATTGTCTTCTGCAGCTGGACTTCGTAAATCGTATTGGAGTGGCTGCATGAAGGCTGCGACAGTGATTTGTCAGCAGATTTTCTCCATTTTGGCGCTAGTGATTTTCCTTCTAAAAATCCTTTTAAAAAGTGCTTCAAAATCGTCTTTTTTTCGCTCTGGCGTCGAGATCCGGTTTTGGAGCTACAATTTCCGATGCCATTGCGCGTAGTTCTCTTGTGTTTTGCAACTCAGTCTCCGCAGATCGCATTGGAATGGCTGCGTCAAGGTTGCTTCTTGCTTTGGCTGCATGCGTAATGTCTTTTGCAGCTGGATCTCGTACATCGTCTTGGACTGGCTGCATGAAGGCTGCGAAATGGATTCGTTAGCAGATTTTCTCCATTTTGGTGCTAGTGTTTTTTTGTTGCACGTAGGTTTAGAGCAGTGTGAAGTGTGGGGCGTGAAGAGTGCAGCGTGAAGTGTGCAGTGTGAAGCAAGCAGTGGGAAGTGAGAAGTGTGAAGTGTGGAGTGTGAAGTTTAAGTGTGGAGTGCGAAGAGCTCAGTGTGAAGTGGAAGTGTGAAGTGTGAGGTTTGGAGTGTGAAGGAAGCAGTGAGAAGTGTGAAGTGTGGACTGTGAAGTGTGAAGTGTGAGTGAAGTGTGGAGTGTGAAGTGCGAAGTGAGAAGTGTGAAGTGTGAAGTTTGGAGGGTGAAGTTTGGAGTGGGAAGGAAGCAGTGAGAAGTGAGAAGTGTGAAGTGTGGACTGTGAAGTGTGGAGTGTGAAGTGCGAAGTGAGAAGTGTGAAGGAAGCAGTGAGAAGTGAGAAGTATGAAGTGAGAAGTGTGAAGTGTGGACTGTGAAGTGTGGAGTGTGAAGTGCGAAGTGAGAAGTGTGAAGTGTGAAGTTTGGAGTGTGAAGGAAGCAGTGAGAAGTGAGAAGTGTGAAATGTGGAGTGTGAAGTGTGAAGTGCGAAGTGAGAAGTGTGGACTGTGAAGTGTGAAGTGTGAAGTGTGGACTGTGAAGTGTGAAGTGTGAAGTGTGGACTGTGAAGTGTGAAGTGTGCAGTGTGAAGTGTGAAGTGTGAGGTTTGGAGTGTGAAGGAAGCAGTGAGAAGTGAGAAGTGTGGAGTGTGAAGTGTGGAGTGTGAAGTTTGAAGTTTGGAGTGCGAAGAGTGCAGTGTGCAGTGTGAGGTGTGGAGTGTCGAGGGAAGGACACGGTCGGGACAGGTTGTCTTTGAACCAAATCTCATTTATGTTTGGGAAACTTCCGCCGCCGGCTTGCCCGGGTCTATGTTATAATAAAATATAGTTCTTATGACCAGTGATGACTCCCACATTCTGGCTCACTTGTGAGATGAAAATGGGGGTCCCTTCTGTTCCACATCCACTTCCTCAAGTCCTCCCATGCTGCCCAGTTACAGCTTGGAATTCATGCAGGCTGCATACAAGCCACATCAATGAACAAATGCTTCCCACCTTCCAAGGTAAAGAAGTTCCCCGACATGTTGTCGTCTCATGTAGTCTCCAAAGAAGGGGATCATTTCACACACTGCTGATACTCCATTGACATGCAGGTTTCGAACACTGCTATGCCAGTTGGACACAGGCAACAGTCTGTCAGATCAAGGCAACGCAAGATCCAAGCCACGCGCAGGGCGCATCGTCGCCAAAAGAGGAAGCGGTCCACAAAGTCCGGTTTGTCGGGTTTCTTAGATCCTGTGACTGTGGGTTCCCCCACAAAAAGACAGTGTAGCCTCACACAAGCATTATACCTCCAGCGGGGTATGAAAGATGGCAAAAGCATCAGGACTGGTAGTTGTATGTAGTGTGCTATTGGAGAACGAGTTCAGTCAATCACTCATTGGCTGCAAATCCCCACCTTCGTCTACTGTGATCTTGACATGCAACTTTATTAGGTGATAAATAATGATAGCTGATGTCGACTATCAAATCTTTGGACAGCCAAAAAAAATCCAAAAAGATCCATAAAAAGGTGTGAATTTCCAACATTGCGTATTGATACACTATATGATACCCATTATATAACAATAAACACCATATAAAAAACACCATCATGGTCAATTATAAACACCATATTAAAAAACACCATTATATAATTTGGATAATTCAACCATAATAATCATCATATAAAAAACACCATCATATAATATCCAAGTTTGAAGAACTCTAAGGCTTCACCATGGCTTCAGCATTGAAATATTTTCCCGGCAGATCCTGGCACGTACTTCACCTGCTCAATCGTGCCCTGGGCGCTGCAACGGCTCGGAAAACCACTGAAGAACCAGCTGGGACCTGGATCATCTCATCATGTCATCCTATCCATTGGTCAAAACATGGTCCAAAATCCATATCCCAAAGCTGCTGAATTTAGAACCTCCCATTTGGGGCCTGGCCGCCTGGCCGCCTGGCCCAATCCATAATAATCCATAGCCGATCCGAAAGCCGAGGCGCAAAGGCAGTTTTGATGTAAAGGAATGGATTCCATCCAGATGGCATGTCACGTCCAACATGAAGGTTGAAGGCACCAACACATGGGCCCTCACGCTGTGTTTGGGAAAAGACACTGAGCCTAAAACAGGCTGCGGAGGGTTCGAGAGTCGCAAACCCATCTCGGAATTGGGTGCATCAAAAACGTCAGTGGATCAAACGTGTGTCGACATTCCAAGACAAACTCTGAAAGGGAAATTAATATTATGCATGCACTAAAAATCTAAGAACAGTTGAAGTTTATGGATTTCTATCCCTTTTCCGTAGGGAAACGGGTGTGTCGGAAAATCCATAATTACCCTGAGATACCATGTTTTTTATCATTTCCCTATCAAAAAAAGGTGTAAGTGTAAGCCCATTTCTGGGCAAACCTAAATTCCACGCGGCACCAATTTCATGGCCAAATGGAAGGTGTGCCTGTGCGACTTCAACATTGTGCTCTCCAATCTGGCGTCGACGTCGACTTTCACGATGGGAAAATGGGCGAGGTTTAATAAGGCCAAAATGGGGATGTAACCAACAAAGATGGGCATTTGAATCGAGGACCCACCAAAATGGCAATTTGAATGAAGTAATGATCACCCCTCAGATTTGTGGGCAGCATATTTTTCAGACGAAGCCTGAAAACTCGTGCTGCTTCCGCAAAAATCATTGTATATCTAATATGATATTCTACCATCGTTTATCATGATATTTTATGATTTATCAGATGTCATCAGTTTTCATCACCTCAAACACCTAAGTTTGATGGTTAACCCCATCCAAGCCATCCCCACCTCGCTCACTGCGCCGCTAGACGCGCCAGAGATGCCGGACCAGGGAGCACCCCGAGGAACCTCCGGGGATCCCCTTTTTGGGGGATGATCATGGATGACTCCCGAAGAACAGGGACAAATAAATACAGTATCTTCGGGAATAGATGGAATAGTCATCCATGATCATCCCCTATGGCATATCATGGCACTATGTAGCTTGCCTGCACTGCGGGACCTGACCTTGCTGATATTTTTGAAGTTACTAGTTTAACATGTTTGAAGCATCAAACAAAAACCGCTGGTGCATTGGGGATAAAATTGGGATACAACGGGAAACACACAAAAAACAAAACACACTGAAGATACAATGGGACATCATGGGATATCACTAACCAACAATCTATCATATGGTGGATGTGGAGTTTAAACCAACCATCTTATGTAGAGTTCTTTCATCATATTTAATATTTATTAATATTTCATATATAATACTATGTTGGATTATATTGAATTATTGGATGTGTCTCAAAGAGAGGGCCCCAAAATCCCAAACTGGAAAATGATGACAACCAATGGGCTTCCACGGTTCGACAACCTCCCATGTATCCATGTTATGGCTAGGCTACTCCACCAGGTCTCAGCCTCGATCCATTGGACGAAGCCATAGAGATAGCTTATGTGACATAGCTATGGAAATCACTTCCCGATTCAATAAACAAAAACTCAGTATATCGGCATCGTCTGCTGACCGCAATTCTCGTGTTACTAGTCAACAGCTTTGAAACGTGGATATGCCTGCGAATAACATCTAACAACGTCTGCCAGTTCCGAGTTTTTTGTTAAGACACATCTATAATCTTGCTCTCTTCCGGGTTTTCGTTCATTTCATTTTAGTGTCAACCCAGATTTTTCCGGCCAATCATTCCATAGATCCCATTCCCCGGCACTCCCGACATCCACGATGCTGTAGGTCAATGGCTTAAACTGGAAGGGCTGCCCTGAGAAGTTGCCCCTGCGTGGCGAAGGAGCTGAGTGGGGCCCGGCTTCATCGTTCCAAAAGTGGGACCCTCCGGCAGGTTGTAGCTTGGTTACTGAACATCCAATATTTCAGTCATAGCAACAAAAATGAACTTCTACGAAATCAGTTGAAATCAGTGGTCTAGTGACTAGTGGACATTGCCACAGGCAAATCTATGCATCTGGGGATCCCTCTGAAAGTCCAGTTCAATCCTTTACAGTATCCAGCAGAAGAGCTGTGGACAACTTCACATCGGCATGACTTTTTAAAGCAGCTTGACTTTGCTTTGCAGCTGTTGTGTTCAGGCAGGTAAGGGCACCCACCAGTCCTAGATACAGCATGCACTTTCAACCCTGCCATGTGCAGGGTATTCGCTTTTCAACGTCTTCGGCCGTGAGACGGAAATCACATGGAAACCATGCTTCGCCTGCCTCCCGCGGTGTCACTAACCACACGACCCTGGGACAAACAAATGGTCCGGTCGCAAACGGAAGTCAGTTCCTCTTGATGCGTGACCATCAGGGTGGTTGCATTGATCTCCTACAGCCAAGTTCATTTCATGGAGGTGGGTCAACTATCTTTTGGGGCCATATTCCTGTGATGTATAGCCAATTGTGCAGTGATATAACCCACAAACCAGTTATACCCAGTTTATGTCAAATTTTATCTCCAGCAATGGGATTCGATTATACATGAATGCAGAATACCCTCTGGTAAACTAACATAACTATGGAAAATCACCATTTTTAATGGGAAAATCCACTATAAATGGCCATTTTCAATAGCTACGTTAAATTACCAGAGGGTAACCACATGCAAAATACGAAATACCAAATTAATCCGCCGGCCCGGCGTGTCGACAAGGCGAGCCGCATGCGGCTGCCTTGCCCCAATGGATGCCCATCGTCCCCTACCGATGGCTTCTTAAAATGGTTCAAATGGGCAAACGACTTAGTTGTCAAAACAACACTCCAACCAAAATTGTATACTTGTGCATACACGAATATAGATCATTTATATGATTGATTTTGGGTTTGTAAGAACAAATCCAATCAGTAACAAATATGAATATCATCACAGCTAAATCTATCACCTAACACTGCATTTTTCAATCCCATATATCCCTCATGAAAAAATAAGCAACAATTTGTCTTTTCCCAAATTTGTCTCCACAAACCAGGGTAGTACTGTATACCTTATTCTCAGACACACAATTGTTCCGTTCCAATCACGGTCTGGGTCAAAGCCCTGGTGCCCTTATGTTTACGCCAAAAATTGTTTTGTTCCCATTAAAAAATGGTGAACATGCCCCATCCCCAAAAAACTCACATTTCTCCAATTTTACTGTAACCAATGATTTTGGTAGCAACGGCATGCAGGTATACTTTTTCTTTCCTGAATGTTCCTTTTTCAAACACACAAAATAAATCCGTACATATCCCCATCACATCGTATCCTGGGACTTTAAAAAATCATCCATCATGTCATTCTAAGATCCATATACCCACATTGGAAAATCATACAGATCTACACAAATTTCTCAAACCATGTTGTTGGCAATCTATGATCATTATCCCATAACATCGTATCCGCATTATATCCACAATTTCCCACTTATTGCCTTTGCATTTTCCACACTAAACCTTATCCCAAATTACATCTCATGATATCGCTGGCTATCGTTCTATTTGGTTTAGGTGTGCAAACAACAAATACTAACAAAACATATCTCATATATGGAGGTTTCCTGAAATGGGGTTACCCCTAAATAATCTATTTATAATAGGATTTTCCATGAAAGAAACCATCCATCTATGATTTTTTCCCCATGGATTGAAAACCCCCATATCTATCTATCATATCTAAAACATATCTTTCATATATAACATATATTAACATATATATATATATCTACCTATCTATCATATCTAGATCCCATGGAATTTTCGGTCCTTGAACTTCTTCACCAGCTCCGCCACCGTGCTGCTGGCCACTTCCTGCGGCAGCGCCGCGGTGACCTCGTCCAGCAGTGCCACGCGGGGCTGGCGCAGCAGCGCCCGGGCGGCGCAGAGGAGCTGGCGCTGGCCTTGCGACAGCGCCAGGACGCCTGCACGGTGCGGGGCACCGGGGCACCGGGGCACCAGGGCAACGGTAAAGTTATGAGATGTCAAGTTATGAATCCCTAGGGATTTGATAATCACAACTACCTATTAGTTGAATTTAGTTGATACATGCTGTTTGGCAATAATTGGCACTTGCAGCAAAATCTAGAATTAAAAATCAAATAACCACTTGATACAGCTTTCCAGTTGTTATCAGCGGGCTGGGGTGAACTAGGATGAAGAAAGTTGATGAAGATCGGACAAGGAAAGATTGCAAGATCCAGATAGGTATATAGGTATGAATGTTTGTATATACATAGATTAAATTACAGTAGATTGGAATAGGATGGATACATCCTGACAAGGCAGCAACAGTAATATTTTCTACCTGCCAGTTTTTGCTTCTAATCTAATATGTATAAAAAATAATGACAATGTGGGGTTATACCAGTGTATACTACTCATTGTGTGAAAAGGGTTCTATGTATGTTCGTATATCAAAGACATAGATTAAAATATCAATGTACGTATGTATGTAAGCATGTATATAAATGGACATATGTATGTATGTATGTATGTATGTATGTATGTATGTATGTATGTATGTATGTATGTATGTATGTGTGTATGTGTGTATGTGTGTATGTGTGTATGTGTGTATGTGTGTATGTGTGTATGTGTGTATGTGTGTATGTGTGTATGTGTGTATGTGTGTATGTGTGTATGTGTGTATGCATGTGTGCATGTGTGCATGTGTGTATGTGTGCATGTGTGCATGTGTGCATGTGTGCATGTGTGCATGTGTGCATGTGTGCATGTGTGCATGTGTGCATGTGTGCATGTGTGCATGCGTGCATGTGTGCATGCGTGCATGTGTGCATGCGTGCATGTGTGCATGTGTGCATGTGTGCATGTGTGCATGTGTGCATGTGTGCATGTGTGCATGTGTGCATGTGTGCATGTGTGCATGTGTGCATGTGTGCATGTGTGCATGTGTGCATGTGTGCATGTGTGCATGTGTGCATGTGTGCATGTGTGCATGTATGCATGTATGCATGTATGCATGTATGCATGTATGCATGTATGCATGTATGCATGTATGCATGTAGGCATGTACATATGTACGTATGTACGTATGTACGTATCTACGTATCTACGTATGTACGTATGTACGTATGTACGTATGTACGTATGTACGTATGTACGTATGTACGTATGTACGTATGTACGTATGTACGTATGTACGTATGTACGTATGTACGTATGTACGTATGTACGTATGTACGTATGTACGTATGTACGTATGTATGTATGTATGTATGTATGTATGTATGTATGTCTGTCTGTATGTATGTATGTATCTATGTATGTATGTATGTATGTATGTATACATGTATACATGTATATATGCATACATACATGTATATGTATATATATATACATATAAATATGTAGGTGTATGTATATATATATACATGTATATATATAATATATCTATGCATATATGTATACTTACAATGCATATATATATATAGATACACGCTATATATAATTACACATAATTACATATGTATATGTACATATATATATATACATACATGTATGTATTATTGTATACGCGTATATACTGCACATGTATACAGGTTTGTATTGTTTATACCGTATGTGTATATATCTATATATTTACATATAATTATGTATAATATTGTATAATTATATAGTGTGTATATATATCTGTATAAAGCACATGTCAACTGGGATCCAAGTTGGATCATCGTAAATGAAACGGTCACTTGGCCGGGGCGACGCCTGGATGAGGTTGGCTACCTCCGATTGAACCCTGCCTGAAGCCGAGGGATTCAATGATCAATGGGTCCCTGCCCCACAGATTGCTAATCACAAAGCGAAAAAAAATGTCACGGAGGGGATAACTGGCAAACCGAATCTTTGCTAAAGATTCCCATGGTTTCCTGTCATTTCTCCATTGAATCAATCTCTTGAATCCAGTGCGAAAGGATGCGAAAGGGTGATTGAGACAAGCAAAGGATGATTTGTATCAACCAACAAGTGTGTAGTCTGCAAATAGGGTATCGCAAAATCCCCTGGTTCATAAGAATGTTCCATTTTGGAGTATCCCCCAATTTCCAGAACAAACCTAAATGGAATCACAATCCCCATGTTTTGTTGGCCACATCCAGAAGTTCATTCCGCCTTGCTTAACCACCAGAACCCCTCACCATACTTATCCCCTTTAAATATTTGCTTGAATTCGGTGTCTTGCTTAAGCCCTAAATTCAGGAAACCGCCGTTTATGGGTGAGTCCAAAATACAGGATACCCCAAAATTGCGATGTTGATGGGAAAAATGAGGCGATGAAGTTTTAAACCATGCGAGTCTTTTTTTTCCCACATTTTATCAAAAACACATTACGACATGTTACCTATGCATCATATAGAAACAATCCATCACAAACACATATATAGGAAACAAGACAAACATCATATAGAAACAAAACCACCATAGGAAACTAGATATAGATACTTAGATACACATATCATGATAAGCTATTTCTCTGGGGGCTACTCCGATTTTAGGGCCTTTTTGGTGCCCAATGATGTCAGGTGAGATGCACTTGGGCGTTGAGCCCCAGGGCACTCTTGCAGCTCCGCAGCAAGCCCACTGCCTGAACCAACGACCGGGTGAACGTCGAAAGTGTGATAGGAAACCATGGTTTTACATGGGGTAAAACCATCTAAAACCACCAGAAAAAAGGATCTGATATGAATTTGTATGATGGTTTAATAATAATGTTTAATCTTTCATAGGCAACAATAGGATGCAAAATCATGACCTTTTTGCAAATTCATGATATCATTTGAAGTATAAGAAATCATCTTTCAGAAGGAAGAGGACAACAGAAATCCCAGATAATCCCAGTGTATATCCCCATGAATTATATCTCATAATATTCCCACAAGATCCCTCACCAAAAAAATTGCCGCACCTTGATGGAATCCCACAGTCTCTGGTCCGAGAACTGGTTGGCTGGATCCAGGTTCCAACGCAAAGTTCCTCGCGGCGGCGTGGGACCCTTGGAATTCCCCCCTGCGTTTTTCAGGTTGAACCGATGTGGAACATCGGTTCATGGGCCGTCCCATTACAGTAGCCCAGCTTCGCGCCTGAGAAGAGGACAGGTTCCTGTGGAACCACAGCCACTAAGCCTGAGTTACTGGCACTGGAAAAAACGACTAGAAAACATGTGTCATTATAGTAAGCAACATGATATGATAGATCCCATGATATCCCATGAATATGATCAACAGCTGATGGTCCATGATCGATGAAAATTCTCCGGAAAAATGTACGGTAAACCCAAAAAAAAAGACCATCCCCAAGTCATCACCATTCTTATGGGTGGTTGACTATTGGGTTTCCCACATTATAGTAAGTAACCCCGAGAAAGATGCGGAAAAGTATGAACACACGATGGTATAGATGATGTTTTGCCATCAGGTTTCCAACTCTTCGCTCCTTTTTTTGGGTGCTAAAAGTCTCAAGTGATTGTCTTTACCATCAACATGATTTCCGAACATTTGGCAGTCCTTAAGAGCCACACCCTCACTTTTGGATGTCTCACAGAGCGAGTGGCATTGAATTGACATCTTCAAGTTGTTCTTAAATTAACACCATATATAATCAATATAGATATGCTTGGGTTAAGACATGATGTCCTTGACCCGTGTTTTGATATACCGGCCGTGACCATCATGACCGGCTATTCTTTCGCAAAAAAAAAAACATCCAGGACATTGACCGGCATTGAACCGGGCCCCAAAATGTTCATTGATGTCATTCTTCCCCACGTAAATTGCCGGGCAATTTGCCACCAATTTTCAAGTACCAAAAAGTCAAGTTGTACAACTCTTAGCCGTTGCTACCTGGCGCCCCCTCAACCCAGATGCGACCACAGGCTTGCTCGTTGAGGTTGGTCAGGGGCTGCTCGTCGATGTAGATCTCCCCCGAATACGGCGCCAACTGGAGGATGGCCAACATCAACGAGGTCTTCCCTGCGCCGGTTCCTGGGCCAAAACTCATCCGACTCGGAAAAAAGGCAAACAATGTGGATACTATATCTCTGAAAATCGTTAGAGTGTTAGCATATATCTATACTTATATGATCGTATATGATCTTATGTGTACCATATGTGTACCAAGAATACCCAAACATCACGACATACCCCGGCACCGCGCACCGCCAAGTCTCGGCCCACCACCGCCACAGTGTCACCGGGCATGAAGCGAAGAGTCACGCCATCCAAAGCAGGCGGCAAAGACGGCCGATACCTCCAATTCTGGCTGGGGACATCACGGATGTCCCGAATAGTTCTGGGGAAAGACCATGTTGATTTGTCTGGGGGACATTCTGAGTTGTTGACATTATCAATTTAGACCCTGTCTTTCAGCATTCTTAGTCTTAGCCGTTGGAAAATCACTATTTGGATCCATCTAGAATAGGAACATCATCCATGGGCCTAGGCTAAGGTTATGAGTTACCCGGGCCAGCAGAACCTGCTTCTGTCATCTCTTTGCTACTACCGGACAACATATGACAACAAAAACACTAGACTGACTACACATAGCCAATGATGAAAAAAAAATGGAACAATAATGACAAAAATCAACCATTTGCCGGCAAGTAAACCATATCCCCTGATTCTTAGCCATATGCCCATTCCATCCTAGTGATATGGGGATGGGTCAAAACCTATTGTTACCATATTTTGGGGAATCAATATCCATGAACTTCAGCTATTGAAATCTATTTTACCATCCGGTTGCCAGGCTTTTGATTGATCTCATCGCCAGGCTTCACATGATATCACCATTTTTCCCAATGTTTGGTTTCCACGTTTGATCATCGCTGCTGGCACCTCACCACCACATTGCGCAGCTCCAGCCCCTGCTGGACGCTGGCGGCGGACGGCAGCGCGATCGAAGCATCGGCATCCATGGTGCTTCGACGGCGGACGTATTCGCAGAGACGCTCAATGGAGACCAGCTGCATCTCCATCTCCTTGGAATTTCAGGCCAATCTTAGATATCTAATAGATATACCATGATATACTTGCCATGAAATGGCAAATTTCAGTAAAAGATCTGTGTTCTTATATACTTATATACTATTTATACATGTGTTCGGAAACTTTTTTAATCACAGAAACCTTAGCATATATGAAAAGCATTGTGTATATGTATATATAATTTGAGAGACATTTCAGTCTGAATATATGTATATATGTATATATTTAATATATCTATATATATATATACAATATGTATATATGTACATATTTAATATGTGTATATATATATGTATATATTTGACTATAATTATATATATATTACATCTGGGGTTTCCTAAAATTGGGATACCTCTATATCATCCATTGTAATAGGATTTTCCATTGCAAAAAAAATGAACCATCCAGCTATGGGGGATCCCTCGTTTATGGAACCCACCATATATATATATGTACCAATTAGAGTCAATTTTATGTTGCAAACAAAAATAGTTCGTATTCAAGTACCTATCCAGGGTTGACCCCAGTTGGCGAGGATCCAGTTGAAACGGGCTGTGTCGGATTTCTGGCGATTTTCTTGTGGAAAACTTGTGGATAAATACCGTTGGATTTTGGAATACCCAAGTTTGTGAAAAAAAATCAGGTTGAAATAGGCTGTCTGACACGGTGTTCTGCAACTTTGATTGATACCTGGTAAATGGCACCTACTGATTGGAGTGACTGTATATGTGCCATGTCGCAAGATGGTTTGGATGTTTTTGGTCATTCGTCCCCCAATGGGAATCCTTACAATGGCTATATCTATATCTATACATGTATATATGTATACACATATTATCATATAAATATCCCACCATCCCCCAATATGGGTATGCGGTATACAATCCAACTTTTCTGATTTCTCCATGTCTTAAATTGCATTTATCAATTATTCATGATTGACCATGAACAAACAAATATGTACTGGAATGGAACCTGCGAGCTCTGGAGGCTAAGCGTTTTCAACCTGCACCCTGTCGCCTGGTCGCCGAGCCACAGAAAAGTTCATTACAAACTGCTGAACCACGCTAGAGACCTGGTCATGATGAACGCGAATCATTCACACATTTCAAAGCGTACAACAGCAACAACAAACCAGATTGTTAAGTAAATAATATATCATAGTATAAATATAATATATATATATAATATAATACATAATGATTAGTTATACAGTAGTAATTATAACATACTCTCAAGATGATGTTTGGAACTTCGCATTCGAATTGCCACGGGATTTGCCTCGTTGCTGTAGTTGATGGAGAATCCCACCAAAGCAGCACTGCGTGTGGCGATGACTCCGTAATACTGAAGCACCTGACTGGGATTCATAGGGGGATGATGGGATATGATCATTGGGGAGTTCATCATTTTGACTCAATGGCAGTGTGTCAAAACCTTGTACCCCTGGTGAACATCAAAATAGCTGGGATTTATGGATGTTCATTCCCCTAAAAATGGTATTAATAGGTATTGATCCATACCCATATCGATTTCAATTCGATTTCCAGAGCTCTTCACTACATGTCCCCAAAGTAGCGGGGGCAGCAAGTCGTGAAGGGATTATTGGGATTGAATCCAGAAGCCCAATGAAACACCCGAAAAAGTGGTATATGAACGTAATATCAAACCACTGATCAAGATATCTAGTCACCCTTTGAATGTAGACCTTGTTGGTGGGACCATCCAAGCGGATCTTTTCAAGGCACTGGTTGGAGCTGGTTGAAGGTGCTAAGAATGAAGCCAACAAGTCCCATGCGCCTCAAGCAGTGCTGGCAGTGCTTGTTCCGTCCCAGCTTCCCGTGCTTCCCGTCACTTTCTGAGCTCCAAACAATCCAATCCATTGCGACAATGTCCTCGGTAGCTGGAACGGCTTCACTACGAGCTGGATTGCTTCACTTGACATGGTCGCTGATGGGTCGCTATCAGCTGTCACCAGTTGAGCAGCGTAGATTTAATTGCAAATATCAAACTCTTGTGGGATGGCGAAAAAAGAGGCGGGACCAACCAGGAAAAACAGGTTGACATAGAACAGGAACAACAGAAACAACAATGTCCAGCTCCTTTTGCTTTGTTTCGCCATGGTTGGCACATCTTTCCTTTTTTCTCTCGAACCCGTATCTGATTGCAAAAGCCTTGAACAGCCGATCGCATCGGTGTGGTCACTGACAAAAAGTCAGGCAGCTGCAGAGTAGGACTTCCCAGTCGACCCAAAGTGCCGAGGCGTTTTGAAGGTGACTGGTTTAGTGAGCTCTTCATGCAGATTTCCATTTTCCTTCACTTCCTTCACTTCCTTCACTTCCTGAACTTCCTGAACTTCCTGAAGTTCCTGAAGTTCCCCGATGGCCACATCCCTGGGCCAGTTCAGAGTAGAACTTCTTAGGCCCTCACGTTTTCACGAAGCCAGCTCGTTGGAATTCCTGGATACATCTGGATAGCATGGGATGCCCCGAAACGTTGGCACGAAACCATGGCACAAATTCGCATCACCTTTTCACATCCTTGTCATATGGTTTTTTGGACCAGGAAACATGACCTTTGCTTATCTAGAATGTATAAATAACATATTAAAAAATCAGAACATGTGGAAACCCACAGCACCAAAATCTGGAGATTTTATCTCATCCCTGACCTCCAAATCCAGCAGGCATCGCATCAGGACCTGTTTGCAAAAGCACACCGTGAATTTCTATCAGCCTCTTTAGTCCATTGAAAATTCACTTGAATTGACAATTGGGTTTGTCTGAAAATGAGGTTCAAAAATGCTCCTTAAAATGGCAATCTTTTCGTCAACATGATGATGAACCGTCGGTTTTTAGATGGACTCTGGGGTATTCCACAAGATTTTCAGATCCAAAACCCTCGCGCTGAGGGGGCATTCGGTGACAGTAGCACCGCATGACTCACCTGCTCTTTGGCACTGTAGGCCCGAATCGTAACGCCTGGCACAAGGACCATCTCCATTGTTGGAGCTGGTCGCCAGGAAGAAATCTATAATATATATATATATTATATTATATATATTATATTATATATATTATATTATATATATATTATATTATATATATAGTCAACATTGGGTACCCAAAGAACATTGGACGGACAGTCCTAAAATTTTGACATCTTTGGTCCGTTGTCAGAGGGCCTCAACGTTTGACCCGAAAAACTCCCCACGGCCTCCGGTGATCGCATCCGTCATCTCCTGGTACACTTCTGACCTGAGCACCCGTTGGACCTTCACCTGGTGGGGAAACAATGGGATAGTAATGGGATACCCTCTGGTAATTTAACATAACTATGGAAAATCATCATTTTTAATGGGAAAAATCAACTATAAATGGCAATTTTCAATAGCTACGTTAAATTAGCAGAGGGTAATGGGATAAACCATCTTCCAATTGGTGCAGGATTTCTCATCCATAGTATTAGACAATATGCCAAGACTACTACAGCTGATGTTGATGTTGATCATGACACAGTTTAACGACAATATCTAGTAGTTATTATCTATGCCTCATGTGATTCATATGTACAGTTTCTAGTCTGTCGTTACAGCAAGAGGCATCACCAAATCCAGTCGGGGACTGTGCAAATTAGGTATTTCTGCTTTAAATCTTAGGATTTTCGTAGTTTTTTCTCATCAGCTGGATGGTATAGGAATACAGGAGTTGTTCAGCCATTTCAAATTATCCTGTCTGGGTCTGGCTCAGAATTAGACATTAGTTACCCTCAACATCCACCAACATTGGATGATTGGTGGCCTAGTACTGACAAATTTGGTGAGATCATTTTGGTGCATTCTTTTTGTTGCAGCCATATCTTGACCAAACAAAAATGGCCACACTTCCACTAAACTCTGATGGTCTGATTTTGCATCAAATCCATGCTCTTCAACCTGGACATCACCAAATTAGCACTGCATCCGCTTCTCAGAGCTGCACTGGCTCACCAAGTACAAACCTTGCCCCGGTTGCCCGGTTGCCCGGGTCCAGCACCCAACACACGCAAACGAACAGTGGAGACTATTGCACGTGGACTTGTCCAGAAATGGGGTATACACCAATTCAGTTCGCAGGGGATCATCTCGCCCTCACTGATTGTGGGGTTATCCTCGTGTGGTGCGTGTATAGGTTGATAATGGTTGATACACATATAGGATCATATAGGAATATATATATATATACTCTCTAGGGAACAAACGTATCCATTTTTTTTGTGGAAAATATTTTTTTTGGATACGTTAGCTGCTGTGAACATAGGCTATGATAAATGCCCTATACTTGAGACATGTTAGTTGAAAATCCAGAATGGACATGTTAGTGGAAAAGTTGTCCCCCCCTCTGGGGGTTCCCGGGAAACTGCCAGAAGACTACCGCCCCGGACGCCCCAGCATCTTTATTTCCAGACCCCAATAGGGCTCAAATCAAAGACCGCATTGATAACAAAACGGTGGAGAAAAAAGGGGTCCCAACTCCTTCCGGAAGAGCGCATCATAGATGATGCCCGTGGGTGGGCAGGAAGATTGGGGGTGCATTCCAAAAACCAGTTGCATTTACTAAGGGTTGGATGACTGGCCATGGAAAGCGTCCACCTAACGTGTCCGTGTTGTTCAGAGGATGTGGTTTTGAGATATGTGAGTGGTTATTGGCTGAATCTATCCCCCCAAAATAGCGAACATATCCCAGATCAGGGTCGAAATCCAAGGGCCCCAATTGCAGGAACTGAGACATGTTAGCTGTTTTTGGGTCAATGGTCCCAAAAAAAGTTGCAATGCATTCCCCAGGAAATCCAAGAAAACGCCGGTACAGAGTGGACATGTTAGTTGATACCTGAAACGGTAGCCCGAGACACGTATCCACTTTTTTGTGGAAAAAAGTTTTTTTGGATACGTTAGCTGCTGTGAACATAGGCTATGATAAATGCCCTATACTAGAGACATGTTAGTTGAAAATCCAGAATGGACATGTTAGTGGAAAAGTTGTTCCCCCCTCTGGGGGTTCCCGGGAAACTGCCAGAAGACTACCGCCCCGGACGCCCCAGCATCTTTATTTCCAGACCCCAATAGGGCTCAAATCAAAGACTGCATTGAGAACAAAACGGTGGAGAAAAAAGGGGTCCCAACTCCTTCCGGAAGAGCGCATCATAGATGATGCCCGTGGGTGGGCAGGAAGATTGGGGGTGCATCCCAAAAACCATTTGCATTTACTAAGGGTTGGATGACTGGCCATGGAAAGCGTCCACCTAACGTGTCCGTGTTGTTCAGAGGATGTGGTTTTGAAATATGTGAGTGGTTATTGGCTGAATCTATCCCCCCAAAATAGCGAACATATCCCAGATCAGGGTCGAAATCCAAGGGCCCCAATTGCAGGAACTGAGACATGTTAGCTGTTTTTGGGTCAATGGCCCCAAAAAGGTGCAATACATTCCCCAGGAAATCCAAGAAAACGCCGGTACAGAGTGGACATGTTAGTTGATACCTGAAACGGTAGCCCGAGACACGTATCCACTTTTTTTGGTGTTTTTTTTGGATACGTTAGCTGCTGTGAACATAGGCTATGATAAATGCCCTATACTAGAGACATGTTAGTTGAAAATCCAGAATGGACATATTAGTGGAAAAATTGTCCCCCCCTCTGGGGGTTCCCGGGAATCTGCCAGAAGACTACCGCCCCGGACGCCCCAGCATCCTTATTTCCAGACCCCAATAGGGCTCAAATCAAAGACTGCATTGATAACAAAACGGTGGAGAAAAAAGTGGTCCCAACTCCTTCCGGAAGAGCGCATCATAGATGATGCTCGTGGGTGGGCAGGAAGATTGGGGGTGCATTCCAAAAACAAGTTGCATTTACTAAGGGTTGGATGACTAGCCATGGAAAGCGTCCACTTAACGTGTCCGTGTTGTTCAGAGGATGTGGTTTTGAGATATGTGAGTGGTTATTGGCTGAATCTATCCCCCCAAAATAGCTAACATATCCCAGATCAGGGTCGAAATCCAAGGGCCCCAATTGCAGGAACTGAGACATGTTAGCTGTTTTTTGGGTCAATGGTCCCCAAAAAAGTTGCAATGCATTCCCCAGGAAATCCAGGAAAACGCTGGTACAGAGTGGACATGTTAGTTGATACCTGAAACGGTAGCCCGAGACACGTATCCACTTTTTTTTGGTGTTTTTTTTGGATACGTTAGCTGCTGTGAACATAGGCTATGATAAATGCCCCACACTTGAGACATGTTAGTTGAAAGTCCAGAATGGACATGTTAGTGGAAAAGTTGTCACCCCCTCTGGGGGTTCCCGGGAAACTGCCAGAAGACTACCGCCCCGGACGCCCCAGCATCTTTATTTCCAGACCCCAATAGGGCTCAAATCAAAGACTGCATTGATATCAAAACGGTGGAGAAAAAAGGGGTCCCAACTCCTTCCGGAAGAGCGCATCATAGATGATGCTCGGAGGTGGGCAGGAAGATTGGGGGTGCATTCCAAAAACAAGTTGCATTTACTACTCTCGTGAAATCTTACCTGTTGAAAGTTTTTTTTTATTTTTTTATTTTTTTTGCTATGTTAGTGTTTGGGTTTTGGGGCTGAGATTCAACTAACTTGGCGTTGGGAACGCATGGTGTGACATGGGCATTTTGGTGCTAACTTGGCGCGTGTGAAGCATCAAGTAGGTTCAATCGGGAACTGCTTTGTTAGCGTTCGTTTGTGCGCGCGTTCATCAGCCTTTCCACCAATATATGGCTCCAAAAACATTTAATCGTACTTCATAGTAGCAAGTAGCGAGATTGGCAACATCGACCAGGAGCTTTTTCATTAATTATTCAATCTATTATATAAACTTGTTGATTTTGAAGCTTTTTTGGGTCCAGTAAGGGTGATGGTTATGATGTACTATTGGAGGTTTTGGGAACCCTGCGCGAATGCTATGTTAGTAGTCCTGTTGCCAAAGCTTTGGTTTTGGATTGAAAATCATGACTGGCACAAGTGTTTTTGGATGTCTTCCTGGGGCTCACCCTTACTGGGCCCAAAAAAGCTTCAAAATCAACAATTTTATATAATAGATTGAATAAGGAAAAAACTCCTGGTCGATGTTGCCAATCTCGCTACTTGCTACTATGAAGTACGATTGAATGTTTTTGGAACCATATATTGGTGGAAAGGCTGATAAACGCTATGTTAGTAGTCCTGTTGCCAAAGCTTTGGTTTTGGATTGAAAATCGTGACTGGCACAAGTGTTTTTGGATGTCTTCCTGGGGCTCACCCTTACTGGGCCCAAAAAAGCTTCAAAATCAACAATTTTATATAATAGATTGAATAAGGAAAAAACTCCTGGTCGATGTTGCCAATCTCGCTACTTGCTACTATGAAGTACGATTGAATGTTTTTGGAAGCATATATTGGTGGAAAGGCTGATAAACGCTATGTTAGTAGTCCTGTTGCCAAAGCTTTGGTTTTGGATTGAAAATCGTGACTGGCACAAGTGTTTTTGGATGTCTTCCTGGGGCTCACCCTTACTGGGCCCAAAAAAGCTTCAAAATCAACAATTTTATATAATCGATTGAATAAGGAAAAAAACTCCTGGTCAAAGTTGCCAATGTGGCTACTTGCTGCCATGATGATTACGATGTACTATTGGAAGTTTGGGAACCCTGCGCAAATGCTATGTTAGTAGTCGCCTTGGGCTCACAACCTTTCCGCCAACGCGCGCGCGCGCGTTAGCGGAAAACAACTCGGCCAGGCCCGAGGACTACTCCTTCCCCGTTGTGTCTTCCCCGTTTTGGGGTCGAAGTCCTCGGGCCTGGCCGAGTTGTTTTCCGCTAACGCGCGCGCGCGCGCGTTGGCGGAAAGGTTGTGAGCCCAAGGCGACTACTAACATAGCATTTGCGCAGGGTTCCCAAACTTCCAATAGTACATCGTAATCATCATGGCAGCAAGTAGCCACATTGGCAACTTTGACCAGGAGTTTTTTTCCTTATTCAATCTATTATATAAAATTGTTGATTTTGAAGCTTTTTTGGGTCCAGTAAGGGTGAGCCCCAGGAAGACATCCAAAAACAGTTGTGGTTTGATCTGGTCGGCTGGAGACTCAAAAGAGACACCTAACCTAGCAACCAGGGGTACTTTCATTCTAGATTGATTGATTGATGTGTTCGGTTTCCTGTTTTCTAAAACATGTTTTCCGTGGAGTTTGATGCTAACATAGCACTTTCCATTTGGTGGTTCCAAGCTGTGACAAGTCTCCAGACAGCTATGTTAGCTTATTCTGGTACATTTCTTTTACCCACTTCCTGGGGAATGCCAAACATTGGGAGGACGGAAACAGAGGCTATGTTAGCAGGTGTTGGCAGAAATCACCCAAATGATCACTTTCTCCAAATCCCCAGGGTTGACAACGTAGCCAGATGCTATGTTTGTGAGTTGGTGCCAGGGCTAAAAAAACGCTATGTTAGATTTCACCGGTGTAAGGGTTAGATGACTGGCCATGGAAAGCGTCCACTTAACGTGTCCGTGTTGTTCAGAGGATGTGGTTTTGAGATATGTGAGTGGTTATTGGCTGATCTATCCCCCAAAATTAGCTAACATATCCCAGATCAGGGTCGAAATCCAAGGGCCCCAAATGCAACTGGTTTTTGGAACCCCACATTGAAAAGGCCAATATTCAGTAGCTTGAGATATTGGAATCTCTTCGGGGAATGACTGCACTTACAAGACCCAATTTTTGTCAAAACACGGTTGTTTTCCCTGAACCCCAAAGTCATGGCCAGCATCCGAGATGAAGTGGCACAGGTGCTGCTCATTTGTTGTTCATTGTTTCCGAATTCCAACTTGCTAACATGTCCCAGTTTGGTACGAAAGAGCACGCACTGCACTTCCAATCCTTATTTCCAGACCGCATTGATAGCAAAACGAGCAGAAAAAAGAGTCCCAACTCCTCGGAAGAGCGCGTCATATATGAAGATTGGGGGTGTGTTCCAGAAACCAGTTGCATTTACTAAGGGTTACTGGCCATGGAAAACGTCCACCTAACGTGTCCGTGTTGTTCAGAGGATGTGATTTTGAGATATGTGAGTGGTTATTGGCTGAATCTATCCCCCAAAAATAGCTAACATATCCCAGATCAGGGTCGAAATCCAAGGGCCCCAATTGCAGGAACTGAGACATGTTAGCTGTTTTTGGGTCAATGTGTAAAAAGAAAGTTGCAATGCATTCCCCAGGAAAACGCCGGTATAGAGTGGACATGTTAGTTGATACCTGAAACGGTAGCCTGAGACACGTTTGTTCCCGGGAGTGTATCACATGTTTCTATGTCTTTTTCTATGTTCTATGCGTGTATTTGTGGAGTGTAATGTATAATATATATAATGGTATAATATAATGTATACACACACATCATACATGTGGGTTATCAAAATAGGGGACCCCCAAATGAAATTTCTGGAAGATCCTACAGTCCTAATTTCTGGAAAATCATTGGAAAATCATGGAAAATCCCAAACATAGATGGATGAGAAAAGAAGGGGTGCCCCCATGACATCATGGAAACCTCCAACCGCAGGCATCCAGTGGGTCCAGGCGTTGAATCTCGCGGATGGTGTTGCGGTAGTAGCGCGCGAAGTACTCCATGAGCCTTGGCGATGAAGGCGAAGGCGGAGGCCGGACATCCGGAATCCGGGAGGGTTTTTGCTGGTGAAGTGATCAGGAAAACACCAAAACACCACTTATTCATTTATGATAAGCCAATTTCATCTAATTTCATCTATGATAATATGATATAATATGGGTGTTTTTTGTGGTAAACCTAATAATAAACTATCCCCGATGATAAAGAGTCTTTGGAGTCTTTGGAGTCTTTGGGCTTTGAGATTAGACACTTAAGCATACTTAAGCTAGTTTAAAATTAGTTAATCTCAGTTTTTCACCCAATTTATGGATCACATCAGACGACCAGCTGTGAGTAGTTGGATGGTGGAGAGTCAGGTGGAACATGGCGGAACATCTGAAAAAACCAGCAATAAACTTAGCCGTGTAAAGTCTGTTTTATCTGTGTTCTATGATTGGCTTATTTTTTGATTGGCTTATCCATGCTTATCCACATTATGTGGCAAATTTTACCAGTGGTTTTTGATGTTTGCCTCCCAAAATGCCAGGGTTGACCTCCTGACACACTTTGCCCAGGTGCAAAATAATCAGCGGCAGGAGAATGATGGACATCGGGCTCGAGAAGGTCAACACCTTGGCCAAACGGAACCGCTTCTGGAAGAGCTCTCACAATGAAATGACTGGGCTGCAGTGTTTAAACACGATTGCTTGAGAAAGGGATTCCCACAATAAATTGTGATCATCCCCGATATATTGGGTACTATAACTTGCCTGCATTGAAAGTAGTCAAATAGTCCTGGATCATTATTTCATGATATTTCATGTTTTTGAAAACAATATGATGAACCTTAAACACAGTCGCAGTAGCAATCACGGGCACTGCAAAACTATAGGAGTTTCAGGGAATCCCTTCACCTACCAAAGAGATCTCAAAGAGATTGATGTCAATGACAATGATGATACTTGAGAGGGGGGGGACGAAAGGTAGGGGGGGCAAAAGAGAGCAACAGGAAAAATATTGCCAAACTGAGATTGATACTTCTCTTCACTCAAACCTCCCGCAGAAGAAAATGTTAGCCCCCAAAAAAGCTTTGTGGGAATAGAATCAGAAACATAATGTCAAATGTAAAGTAACTTCACGCGCGCGCGCGCGCGGCGCGCGCGCGCGTGAACCATCCTGCATGCAGGTGCTTCTCCGCGCGCGCGCGGCGCGCGCGCGCGCGAGCGCACGCATGTGCGGGACGTAAACATTGCGAGTCTCTATTCCCCGGCACGGCCTCAATGGGACTAGAACATCCACGATAGATCGATAGATCAATACATCGATAGATAGATAGATAGATAGATAAAACTATAAATAAATAAATAAATAAATAGATGAATAAATAGATAGAGAGATAGAAGCATCGATCGATAAATAGATAGATCGATGGCTACCTTGATCGATAAACAGATAGATAAATAGATAGATCAATAGGTAGATAGATAGATAGATAGATCCAAGGATAGATAGATAAATACATACATAGATGGACAACTAGATAGATAGATATATCGATAGATAGATGGATAAGGAGGTAGGTACAGAGTCAGAGAAAAAGAGAGAGAAAAAAATGCGGACCAGGGGGGAATCGAATGGGGGGGGGAGGGGGGGGCCCCCCCCCCCTAAGTCTCCGTTCGTGACTCTCGGCTTTCAATTTCCGGGAAAGGAGCAGCCACCTCCCCCAGTACTAAACTAGTACTAAAGTACATAGAACTCAGGTAGCCTAGGCTACCTTTCGTGACCTGAGATAATGGTTCGCAACTGTTGGCTGGGTATTTGCTGAGCGAGGAAGGGCAGTCATAATACTAGGATATACTAGGTATATCAAACCCATTCACGTCTTTAACCATGAAGCGTACATGTACTAATCAACTTTAGCATTCTGAAGCTGCAAGTGCTGGGTGAAGTCCAATTGCTTAGGATGATCTACAAGAACACATTCTGCATCTGAGACAGCGAGACTATGGGACCCTTCCACTTGATCCAATGTTGATTTGGAGGTCTCATGGAGGTCCCATGACATCTTCGACCAATCGACCAAGGTATGACCCAGAAAGTACAGCACGGCTCCAATGATGATACCTCAGCTCAGTCGAGTCCATGCGAGTCAATGCCACCCACTTCAGCTGTCTCCCCAAAACTGCAAGACTTGATGGGTCAAAAGATGGAGACTAGGAGATACCCTCTGGTAAACTAACATAACTATGGAAAATCACCATGTTTAATGGGAAAATCCACTATAAATCACCATTTTCAATAGCAAACTGTTAGTTTACCAGAGGGTACCAGCGGAGCATTTGCAACCCATCTTTGGCTTTAACACAGATGGCGAGATCTGGATCCAATTTCTGTGGTCACAAACCCAACCGAAGTATCAAGCGGGAGGTACCAAAAAACTATAGTTATTACCCAGATCTAGAGTATTTCCACATCCCAGAATTTTCATAGATTTTCAACATCCAAAAATCCGAGTTGCCAAAAATGTTGGTCACAGCCTTATCCATCACCTGGATAAAGTTGACTCTGGACTCTGGAAATCATGGGGTAGCTTGGCCAACATTTGTTGAACCCAACCCCCAAATGTCGATCAGTTCTGTTTGAAGATGATCTTCGTACTTTAAAGCTCCATTCTTATGGTACTATAAACATCTATAAACCTCATCATTCTTCTTGGAAGTGGCTTGATCATGATCCATGTATTTTTACCATGAAGGCCCAAAGTTTAACCCGCTTTGCCCCTGGTGGATGATGACATTTACAGTATCATGGCCAATCTCACATACTGGACGGGGAGAACATCCCTGTTGGGCCGTTGCTTGGTGGCTGAGACAAAAGGAAATTTGGAAAAACACATGGTGGGAAAACTCACATTCTACTTTGGATGTTGATCATCATCGAGATTCTACATGGTGTATCTTACTAATCATCTTTGGGATGTTGATTGTCAGTGATCATCCAAAGATATTCAGAGTAAGGATGGGGGTTCTATGGTTTTCTTCTATTTACAACCAGGACAGTCCTGCAATCTTGGGTTGAGTTAGAACTCAGGAGTCCAATCAGTGCAATCCTGGCCTCAACATCTGCTGAGAAGCGATTTAGGACGCGGCCTGTGGGATTGGTATCCTCGGCGAAACACAGACAGAGTGTCGGACACCATCATGGCAAAGGTCCGACTGAAACACAACAACATCAAATAACAACACCCAACCATTCAGGGGACAGTCTGAGCCATGGAACCCACCATTGGAAAGGCTTGTACAGTGCACCATCCAAAGCATTGGCCTGGGACGGTCCCGGATGGTGTGACGGTGTCACGGTGAAAATTTGTCTATCAAATATGGATCAAATCCAGCATACCTTGGATTTCACATCAAAATAAGTAGCTGGATTTTCATGGATCTTCATCTCCAAATATAAAAACATATCCACATAAATTGTCATACGCATCGTAGCTACCTACTGATTTACAATTCTTTTGGGGGCTACCCTCTGGTAATCAAACGTGGCAATGGAAAATCCCCCCATGAATCGGGGTTTGAATGAGACACTCATTTTTTAAATGGTGGATCTTAGCCACGTTCGATTACCGGAGGGTAACTGCGCTCTTTTAACAGAGGCATCTGGACCACAAGCCAAGGACGACACGAAGATCCTTTTGGCTGCACCTTCCAGCAAATGTGTGGGGCAAACTTGCTTAGTTAATCTTAGTTAACCACCCATCAAACTGGCAATGATGTCTATAGCAACTACCAAGTAAGGGAGATGTTAAGACTGTTAAGAACTCGATGCAACAATCTTTGGAAATGATTGACTTAGGAGTTGGGTGGTAGCCAGATGTTTGAAAACCAATCACTTGTGGTCATGTCGCCAAAGGGACTGGAACATCCCAAACTCTGAGATGTAACACGCCCAAAGCACGACTCTTCAACCATCCAAATGATGCTCATCTTGAGTCGAAAACCATCCCGCTGCCTTTGGAGCGATATTTTCTTGATGGATTGCGGTAGATTATATCACCGTTTCTGCGGGTAAGACCATCACATTTAGATCATTTTAGATCTATTTAGATTTGGTCCCTTTCCCATCCTTTCCCATCATATGTGGTTGTTGCTTAAAGCCCATCCCTGTTTCGTTCACACCCCATGCCGAAAACGTCGTCAGTTGGGATACCCAAGTGTGGTGTCCAAAAACGGGCTACCCGTCAGCCGCCGTCAGCCATGTTTGACCCAAATCAGATTACCCATAATACTATGACTATTCCGTTTACCATAGTGGGTGATACTGTATTATGGCTACCCGTCAGCCATTGTACTTCTCTTCAACAAACAAATGGATCAAATATGATCAAATGGGGGGTTCTCCTGAATTTCTCTTGAGATTTGCTCATTTCAAACAACATCTGAAGAACCTTTTCAAGGTCGAACATTCCGGGAAAAAAAAAAAACGCAGAAAAATCCCAGTGTACCAGCGATTTTGTGGGCCAAGTGGCGGATACCACCGATGATCTCCAAGGCATGACCCGCGAAGTTGGAGATGAAGAAACATGCGATCTGAGTGGTGTTTGATTGCTTTTGGTAGGGGGAGATCTGGAAAATCTACAGGAAACATCAGGAAAAGATAGGAAAAGTATGTACCCTCCAGTAAACTGGAAATATCTGGAAATGGTCCCTTCGACCAATCCTGGGAACCTCTAGTGGTTACCAACTTTTTTTTTCACAAGTCCCCAAACCTTCCGGGGTCATCGCATGAATATTTCTGTGGATTACAAGTAGTTATACCCTGCAGTAAACTAACATAGACCCTGCCAGATAGGGGTTGGAAGAGTAGTTTCCACTATAAATTGGTGATTTTCAGGGTCTATGTTAATTTACTAGAGGGTAACCCAAACCAATAGACATCAGTTACAATCAGTGGGACCATGTGGGATCCTCCTCTTGGGGAAACGGATGAAGCTGTGCTTGAGCTGGGCCAACCCCCCATAGCGGTAACTCAGATTTAGGCCACAATCCCAATCAGCAATCAACTTCCAAGTACTGCAGTTACCGCCAGGCTCCAAGATGATCCAAGGTCCAAGCCAGCACACCATAGACCGTCAACATGGAGGTAGTGCCAGTCGTAGGCTTTGCTCCAATGCCCTGTAGGTTGGACTTTTTGGAGCAAAAAACATGAAAACGCTGGACCCGAACCGCAGGTGCACTCACATATGTTTGTCACATTCTATTATGAATACTGGGAATTGATTTCCAGTAGATGTGACCTGATGTCACAAAGGTTTGAAGATATTTACAGCAATCACCTTCCAGCTTGCTTAACTCCGCCTTCATCCAGCCGTACATCAGGGTGGTCTCCTGACAAGCCATCTTCATAGCTGATCCCCGCAGGAAATTTACAGGCTTTTGAGTCCCAGACCTTATCGTCAGATGTCCAATACCTGGCATGGAAGGGAGACACCTATCCAGTGTATCCAGGAACTGGATAGGTGTGAACAAAGGATTTTTCAGCTTGAGTTTGAGTCCAACAAAGCCAGGTTAGCACAATCCAAAGATTGCAAAAGTTCTGGAACACCATGATTCCAGCCAAAGCAATGAACATCACCTCGGATGTCTAGTGCGGATGAAATCAGCAAGGGTCGTTTTCGAAACCTCGTACAAAAATAGATACAAAAATAAATGCCGAAGAAACAAAACACATATCTTCATAACTATATTTTGCTATCATCTGTATCCTCAAACAAGTGTATATCAACCAACATATTAGTCTATTACACATATCTATATATAATAATCATATAGAATTGTATAATATAATTATTGTATAAAATATAATCAAAATACATCTGATCAAACATTCCCCCCATTTTTTTGGTGATGACCTCTGGTCAAACACATCGGAGAAAATAAAAACAGGCCCCAGACGGTAAAGTTGAAGTATCCCACGGCCTGGCAGCTTTGAGTGGGGGGAAAAATATGGAAAAAAACGCATAAAAATTGGTAGAACATGGTAGAACTAGGGATTTCATGGGATTTCTGTAGAAATAAATGGTAGAATTTTCTGTGGATTTCTGTAAACATTCTAGAATTATAGGGATTTCTGTGGTGATTGGAGTGATTTGGAAAACAGTTTGCGAACTGGAAGCCATGGCCCAGCAATAGTTCGATTTCCATATGAACAATAGTGACTTTCATTGATTTTCCATGGTTAGGTTACAATACCAGAGGATCAAACTCTAGCAAATGGATGCAAATGGCATAGTGGGGCGTATAGTAAAAAGATATGTAAAGATTGATGCCGACCCTACGCGCTTGCAAGGAGTGATAACAACATAAAGTGCTTGTCCTTCAGGTTTCAGGTTTCAGATGTAATAATCACCAACACAGAGAAAAAACACCACCAAAAGTTCAACAACTTTGAAGAACTTTGACCCCATAGCCACATTCACAGAGTGCGCCAGCGTCTCGCAACAAGTGGGTGATGCCTCAACTCTTGGTTTCCTACAGTAAATGGATGATCGTATGGATTCTTCCTACAGTAAATCGCTTGCGGGGCCTGCAGGTAGCTGTAATACGTGCTCCATTGCACATGTCCGGCCACGCGACCTGCCATGCCCGGTGGCTGATGATGCTGATGTGATCCCGGAATGAAAAAAAAACTTGGTCTTTTGATTTGCCGGTACCACATTTAAACATATTTCTACTATGCTCTGGTAAACTAACATAGCTATGGAAAATCATGATTTTAATTAGGTAAATCAACTATATATATATATACAGTAAATGACCATGTTCAATATGGCTATATAATGCTATATATGTTAAATTCCCATAGGGCATAATTTTTGGATGACCCGCAGGAAAATCATCAGTCAGGGTGGGTGTGAATTTTGGGTTGGCATTGTAGGGGGATGAGGATGCCAACAGTGAGCAGGCAGTGTCAAAATCCGATCTGTACCCATGCCGACTCCCCAACAAACAGCTGATTAAAGCCTCAAGGGAGAGAAAATTGGCAGGTCTGTAATCACCTCATGCTTTGATTTTCACATCAAACATGGAAAGCTCAAAGTTTTGTAGCTGTGGCAGGTGTGGCATCTTTTGCAAACGTTCCTCCGATGTGAAGACAAACGCAAGAAAGTGCTCATGACAAACATCTATTGCGGCTTGAACTTTTAAGCTCTGGAGGCTTTTGAATAATTATGGTGCAAAAATTGGGGGTCCAAAGGGAACACAAAACTTGGCCAGGTTAGCCATTCTTGTCCATCCAAATCTCTCAACCAAAATGAGTTTGAACCTGTTGAACCAGAACCATCCTACAAATGGTATTCACGTGTATTCACAGCATATTCATCATTCAGCTTGGGAGGATATCTTTGTTCAGTGGCATCCCAAGGTTACCCTCTGGCAATTTAACAGTTTGCTAGGGAAAACCACCAGTTTAATGGGCCCATTTCCACAGCTATGCCGAATTCCCATATATTACAAGGATTCAATAATAGATGATATTCCCATGTATAGATGCACATGGCTAGTCTAGGGATTTGCCATGTTTGATATTTTTAAAGGTGTTCCATGGTGTTCCTCCACTCGGCTCAGCGCCTTCTTCTGAAGCCAAAGCGCCCTTGATCTCTTGCTCTTTGGTCAGTGGTGTCTGCCTGAGTTCGTGGAACCCAGGCGCCAAACATTGCGAGCCGCTGAAGCTGATGAATGTGCGTACTGGTATATTAACCAACAACCAACAAAAAAAAGGTGACCCTCTGGTAATCAAACATGGCTAGCTGGACAAATCCCCGAGCCAAATGAAGGTTTGAATGGGAATATCATCTATAAATGGTGGATGTTCAACTGCCACTTTGATTACCGGAGGGTATATCAACCAGCAAAAAAATAGGGTTATAACATGTTATAAATTGCTATTATATAAAGATCCTTTATTGTCCTTTGCTTCCATTTTGCACTCCTTGAGCATCTGGAAGGCAAGAAACTCACTGTTTCCAGGACCTGGACATCTGCTAGCTTGGGCGTGTTCAGTATCCACCAGCACAAACCCATCCTGCTTTGTATCAGTAGTTGCGATTACTTGACGACTTGTCAAAACAAGCACTTGACCACCCAACTTCACCCCATCCACCTCTGGTGTTAACCCTGGCTTGAAAATCCTGGCGCAACTTCTGGGGTGCCAATTTAGTTTGACATCCGTTTGATGATCGCTGGGCATCGCTGGGCCCCACGACGTCTCAGCTTCAATGCTCTTGGGAGGTGACATCATCATCGGCAGCGGAGGCAGTCGTGGAGCTGCGTCCTGGGGATGCAGCCAGTCAACAGGTGAGATGTGTAAATGACAGATAAATGACAGATATCAAATATAGCTAGGTGTGGAATTGGTGTAGATAGAGCTAGATGTACCATTATACACCTGAAAAGGTTTACACATATGCTATACAAATATCAATGTGTGTCGCATCCAACTTTATATGTATATTGAATATTGTTCGATTTTGACCCATGGCCTAAGCATTGGGGATACCAGCATAACTAACGTCTTGCCTGTATGGGTGGAAGGTCGCTATGTGGTGAGGCTGTGCACTTTTTGAACGAGGTTCCGCTACTGTATCAAGGTTTTGTGGAAAATGTCCCTGCATCTAATCACAATACCACTATTTCCGAGAAATTTCCACAATATACCCCATGGAAACAAGGATTCTGATCGGATCAAATGATCATTCCCAATACTTCTCTGCCAATTTTTGCCATAGAGAACAAACCTCATCTCTGACCATTTCTAGTTTCCAAGGCAAAAAATTAACATTTGCCACTCAAAGCTGCTAACTCCCATCCGGCCTCGGCCTGCCTCTCCGGCATTTCACCCTCATCCTCCTGGCAGCGTGGCAAGGGGGTCTGTGCAGGAGGGAAAAACACGTAAAATGTGTTGAACGCGCTTTCCCTGGCAAAACTTAAATTTCAAAAAGGGAAAAAGTAATATGTCTAATCCACAAGTGAAAACCTAGGATCCCGGGAGAAGTAAAATGTAGTACTTTTAATATTTCAATATTTTTAATATTAATATCAAACATGTTTAAAACATATTAAATATGTTCCTTTTCAAAATTTTAAATTATGCCACGCCAAGTGCCGCCCCGGGGCGACTACGGCGACCAAGCGCGCCACCAGAGCCAGCCCAGTGCCACAAGTGCCACGCCTGCCACGCAAATGGAACGTCGATGTCACCAAGTGCCGCACCTGCCACGCAAAGTGCTGCGGCGCCCCGGGCGATGAACGGCGACCAAGCGCGCCACCAGAGCCAGCCCACTGCCACAAGTGCCATGCCTGCCACGCCAAACGCAGGTAGATGTCGCCAAGTGCCACGCCTAGTTGACTTGTGTGTGTGACCAAGGTGTGTGTGAAAGATGGCGTGTGACAAAGTTGTGTGTGACAAAGTTGTGTGTGACAAAGAAAGATGGTGCGTGACAAAAAGAGAAGAGGTGTGTGACAAAGTTGTGTGTGTGTGTGACAAAGTTGTGTGTGAAAGATGGTGTGTGACAAAGTTGTGTGTGTGTCAGGGAGGCGGCGGAGAGGGAGGAGGAGCGGGATACAGAATCAAAAACAAGAACCCCACACAAAGATGTGGGGAACAAAGCTTGCCCAAAATATGAAGGATCTTTTTGACTGTTACAGCTATTAGGATGGATACAAACCATTCATGATGACGTGACAGGGTTCAAGATAGCCTCATGGTTGGTACTCATCTAGCAGTCCTCGTCTTGCGGATTGCGCATGAACACCTGCTCAGGTTTTGTCATGAATAATCATGACAATTCCCACTGCAATGTGTTTACCATTGTTTGCCCATCACATATTGTAGCCACAAGAGACAATGGCGTCGGCGTATGTAGGCGTAATCTATTGAGATCAAGAATGATTGGGATTTAGTACCTCTGGCATTTCGCTGAACTGTGTGAGCACTACTTGCATCCTCAAGCCAAAAGCACACACCTGTTAGCGCGTTTGGGAAGGCAGTTTCAAAGTGCCCCGATGTTTGTGCTTCAAAACCGCCTCACAACAAACTCCTGCTGGCGGATCACTCACATTATGTCAGAATATGTTTGGTATAAATTAAGGTTCCAATTGAACCACAACATGTCTGCAGATGGTGCATATATTTACATCCATTTGCACATTTTGCAATGTCCGGCAAGGATTCAATTTGGGGGGCCTTGGGGGCCTATAAAAAATCACAATAAGAATGATGTTTCACCATTGATCGCGGCGCCTCAGTCCCTTCGGCTTGGGATGCTTGGGTCATCACCACCGTCTTCAGCTCTGGCAGATCTTGACCCAGCAACCTCAGAGCGCAACGAAGTCACCCATGATGCCATGGGATCTACAATAATACCCAAAAATACCGCGGAAATTGTATCAAATTGATGCACCAAGAAACAACTAGGGATCGAAGCAATGATCCTTGGTGATTATAGGATTATATAATATATAGAAACTGGAAAAGTTGCCAGTCGTCATGTTTTTTTCAATTCGCCTTATATAACCATTGTGGGCGTCTGACGTAAAGTCATGGTCCGATAAGCTGCCACTGGTTGTGGTTGTTGGCTTCACGACAGGGGATGTTCCACTGCCGGCATCGCAAGAAACTCAGACAGGCTCCCCCGAGTCAGCACAGATCCAGATCGCAGAATGACAATGCCTGGCACGTATGGACATATAATATGTGGATATATATATATATATATATTATTATATATATAATATATATATATAGAAATATATGGAAATATATGGAACTATATGGAAATATATGGAAGTAATTGGAAATATCTGCTCTAATGACTCGAACTGATCTTGACTGGATTCCAAGATTGCAACCTGGATTGGTCCATCAAAGTTGAAATCGAAGATGCTAAGATATGCTAAGATTGGTCTGGATTGGATATCAGTTGGATATGCTAAGCTAAATTGGTATCCAATTAGTATCAACGGTATCTTTCTCACCCCAGACACCGACCCACCGACGAGAATCGATGAGATCTCGCCTGCCCACAATCAAAACGTTCGATCTTAACGAAAAGAAATATGATCAATCAATTTTGGGGGTATATACATCCATAAACCATAGCTATTGGAATTATCAACCAACTTGTATACCCGTTGTCAAACAAACCCATCTGCTTTTTGGGTAACCAATTCGCCGCTAGAACTGTCGACTACTCCTACTGCTCCTTGGGTTTGTCTTTTCAAATAGGGTACCCCATGGTACCCCCTTTTTCCAGAGGGACCAAACCCATCACATGTTGTTGGAGAGTCATACCCCACAAAATCCCCATAGCATGGTTGTTTTCCCAGTATGACGTCTATCATTCTATCAACTGTATCCCCTTGATCTCCATATGGTTGAAATATGTTGAAATTACTTATCCTATGAAAGATACCCCAAGTTATCTCATGACATATCCCCATGACATATTCCTATGTCCCATGACATATGCCTATATCCCATCATATTATCCCCAGATTGTTGCTTGTCCATTCCCCATTAATCCCATCCCCCTAATATTTGAACACCACCATTCTATGGTTTCTGGGCTTGAATATGAACAGGGGAAGATACCCATTACGGACCATCATGGTTGGCTTGCTCTACACGACTAAACCCCATGAATTTCCACTAAATCCCCCCGTTGTACCATTATGGTTGGTTTCATATACAGTATAGTTATATCAGATTGTAATAAATTGTATCCTCATGATGCCTCATTTTTTGTGGGTTAAATCCTCTTTTGCTGATGGTTAAATCCCCATTGGTATTGGTTGTATCACCGTTTGCTGTTGGTTAAGTCCCATTTGCCGATGTTTAATTTGATCAATATGGTTGCTTCCTCAACCTCCATTATATCATCATATTTCGTTAAATCACCCATGTTTGTTGTTTTGATACCATTTGTTGTTGGCTAAATCACCATTTGATTTGCTAAAATTCACATCTTTCTTTGTTTCTAAACATCCAACCCCCTGTTTTCCGGAAGAAACCACATCGAATTCCCATTTTTCTTGGTTTCGAATTAAATCCAAAGCCAGGGTTTTTGGATGTTTTACACATCTACCTGGGCATCTTGGCATTTTCTCAGCCCACGAAATTTTCGTCACATCGCCAGGCTTGCCAGACCTGCATCCAGCTGGCCATTCTCCACCAGGCAGCTCAACCACCAGGGGTCCGCAGCCTGTGCCGCGGAGGGTTGTAGATGTACCATGAATGTTTGGGATTTAACCTACAAAAAGAATGGTACATTAATCCGGATGGGATTTAACTTGATTTAACCATAACATGGAATTGTAGCATTATGGTGACATAATCCAAAACATTAACAGTACGAGTACAACATTGAACCATCATGGGGACTCAATGACAAATGGTGACATGACACAACAACACATGGGGATTTAAGATGATTTAAGCAACAACACATGGAGATTTAACCAAGAACAAATGGGGATTTCACCTTCAAAAACACCATATACAGATACAACTTGAATTAACTTGACATAACCGAGACAAATATAGAATTTACTGGAACAAATGATGATTATAGGATTAGACATGATTTGCAACTACCCTCCGGTAATCAAACGTGGCAACGGAAAGTCACCTATAAATGGAGGTTTAAATGGATACTATAAAGGGGATTTTCCATTGCAATGTTTGATTACTGGAGTTTCTGTATGTATAAAGAACCCAAGGTTTGAAGCTTCACTTGTTGATTTTCTTGGCTTTTTCATCTGAATCTGCACTTCTTTCTTTCTGACATAGGGAGGTCCCATTATTGACAGTTGCATCTTCAATGCCGACCTTCTCTGCAAAGCGCCAATGGCATGATGTCTCCAAGAAACGTGGCAAAACCCAATAAGAAACCATCCCCCAACATCACCATTTTCATGGGTGTTATGAATCATCCCCAGCCATGGTAGGTTTATGGCAGGCTTTCACACATCACCCTGGAGCACCCTGGAGCACCCTGCGCTCTGCCGGCGCCCGACTAAGACCCAAACGGCCACCAGGACAGTGCTCTGCCTGGCGACCAAAATACACAGTATCCATCAGTATATCTCCAGATATATGGCTATGAATTAAATAGCTGGTGAATGGCTGGTGAATGGCTGGTCAATGGCTGTTTATTCACCCAAATGTGGCAAATGTGGCAATAATAGGTTTTGACCCTTCTACATATCCAAATTGTCACGGTGCCCCTGATTTCTGATCATGAGCTAGAAACACTTGCTTTGTTGGTACCAAGTTGGGCACACTTTTCAACACCTCCAGAATTCACTCTGGCCATCGTAGTTTGAACTGACCGGGTGTTTCATCTCTGGCCTCAAAAGACCGCTTTGAGACAGCAAGGATTTGCAAACCTGGCAGATTGGAGGTCATCCCGATTCGGTCCCTCGCACACCGCACACCAAAATCAATGACACGCATCATGTAATCATAATTGGGTTTACAAGATCCTCATAATCACATATAATCACAACGTTACCATATATCAGCGCCATCTGAGAGATTGAAGGCAAGGAGGTTTATTTTTTCTGGCTAAATCATGCTACATCATCATAATTCACATGAAATCAGGATGATTTAGAGATATTTAGAGGGAAACTCACCAATTTGTTTTTCATCTGAAAATCTTTAAACATGTTTATGGGTGGATGATGATTCTATCCACCCATAGGATTTCATCAAATCCCTGGGAAATCAATCCACCCATCCTTCCCAACTTCGGTCGGGATTGCCTGTACGGCCACCTCCTTATCCAAGGCGCAGAAGGGGTCATCCAGCACAACCAGTGGCACGTGCCTTCGCGGACCATCAGGACCATCAGGGACTTGGGATTGGGACCTCCGATTTTGAAACACACACGTATATACATATACATATACATATATATATATACATATATACATATATATATATATTCATATATATATATATGTATGTACGTGTGTGAAATATGTGTTGATGATATGTACTGGTAATTGGTAGTTGACCAGCTCTGATTGTTGGAAGTTTACCAATGTCTATAGATAAATAATCGGGGAAACCTATGGACTATCATCCTAGATATAGGTCTGTATGTCTTTATGAGGGATACCCCAACTTTCAAATGAACCACGAGATTCTGGGGGAATGCAACAAACCCAGTGGTGAACCCCGATGCAAACAGAACTGGAATTACCCACAGCCATTCATCTGGAATTACACAACGGAATGATCAAAATCCATCACATCAAGAAATTCTCATTCTGCAAAAATGAAGGGACGACCAAACCTTCCCAACGTTTACTTGCATGGTCTGACTGGAAAAAATGAGCAACTGCAGGTTGCAGGCCCTTAAATTCGCGCAAGAGGTTCTTGTGTGTTGGATGAAACCATCTCATGTGGGGATGGGTCAAAACCTTGTACCCCTGGAGTTCACATCAAAATAGCTGGTAAATGGATGTTCATCCCACTAAAAATGGTATTAATAGGTATTGATTCATAGCCATGTCAAACATCTCCGTGGACCCCGCCTGGCTTCCTGTTCCAAGGCTGCGCGGTATGCGGCTCGGGCTATGCCTTGGTCATAGCCCAATGGGAATTCAAGCAACGCTTGCCTTGGCTTTCTTTGAATTTAACGAGCTTTGACGGGATAGCACTACCCTCTGGTAATTTAACATAGCTATTGAATATGGCCATTTATAGTGGATTTACCCATTGAAAATGGTGATTTTCCATAGCTATGTTAATTTACCAGAGGGTAACCAACACTAAAATGGTGATTTAATCCAAAACAATGGTGGTATAATGGGAATATCATGGTGGTTTTCATGGTGAATTATGGGGATATGATAGGGATAATCCATGGGATAATATGGGATATAATTGGGACTGTGTGGGGATGGAATGATATATAGTATATATATGTATATATAGTATGCAACCATATATAACCAACCATAGTCTGAGATTTGCTCAGTGGCTTCATTAACAAATCCAGGGGGTGGGGGTGATCCCTCTGGTTATGACTAACAGAGCCATGGTATAAATGACCCATTTATAGATGATGTACCTATTAAAAATGGTGATTTTCCATAGCTATGTTAGTTTATCAGAGGGTACATTTATTTATGGAAGATAACGAAGCAACACTATGTTGTGGCTGTGGCAGGGGATGTACTGATTCATCTCCCAGTTATTCTTATCATGGGGAAAATGAGGTTCTAAGCAACGTCGTGGATCCTGGCGGTTAAATCCCCATGAGCTGGTTTGGAAAGCCCCCTTTGATGGCAAACAAAAATGCAAGATCTACAACATATTATAAAGTACAACAAGTAACACACCAAAGTTTTCCCTGAAAAACTAGTAAATTATATAATATAAATTCTGTATCTGAGTAAATTATAATAGTTCACTAACCTGAATTAAGGCCATTTGGGGATGATTTCATATGATTTCCCTTATTAACCATGATTCCAGTGAGGGAGAACAGTGAGGTCGTTATAATTTACCCAGATGTATCGATATATATATATCATATATATATCATATATATATCATATATATATCATATATTGAAATTAGTGATGATGATTTTCCCATTCTTAACCATTTTTTTAAACCCTCACTGGCAACCATATACCTGACAACCCTTAGGCCCCCCTTGGGGGCCCCAACCAACACGCGCCCGTTGCCCACCTGAGATTGTGGAGCCACCTGAGGTCCAGATGACGCATGACTTCATGAAACCACCCTAGAATTATAGTAGTAAAATAGGTAGTATCATTATATGGACCTATGATACCATAATTGTAGAATAACATTACAGTGTCTATACTATCATTATAACTATAATGGGTAGCATCATCATATCCTGTGATATCAACAGGATTATAGTGCGATTATATACTATAGTAGTATAATCGGTAGTATCATTATAATAGTCATGGACCTATGATACCATAATTATAAAATAACTATATAGTGCCTATACTATCATTATAACTATAATAGGTAGCATCATCATATCTTGTGATATCAATAGGACTATAGTGGTATTATATACTATAGTAGTATAATAGGTAGTATCATTATAATAGTAATGGAACTATGATACCACAATTATAGAATAACGATATAGTGTCTATACTATCATTATAACTATAATCTGTAATAGGCACGACAAAAATATCCTGTGATATCAATAGGATTATAGTGTGAGTATATACAATAGTAGTATAATAGGTAGTATCATTATAATAGTCATGGACCTATGATACCATAATTATAGAAAAACATTACAGTGTCTATACTATCATTATAACATAATCTGTAATAGGCAAGATAAAAATATCCTGTGATATCAATAGGATTATAGTGTGAGTATATACTATAGTAGTATAATAGGTAGTATCATTATAATAGGAATGCACCTATCATACCATAATTATAGAATAACTATATAGTGTCTATACTATCATTATAACTATAATATGTAATAGGCAGGATAAAACTATCCTATGATATCAATAGGATTATAGTCTGATTATATACTATAGTAGTATAATAGGTAGTATCATTATAATAGTAATGGACCTATAATACCATAATTATAGAATAACTGTATAGTGTCTATACTATCATTATAACATAACTATAATAGGTAGGATCATTATATCCTGTGATATCAATATGATTAGAGTATGATCACATATTATAGTTGTATAATAGGTAGTATCATTATAGTCGTATAGTTATAATGATAGTATCTATATAATCATCCATGTTCACGGGGATGATCATAAACTTCACCAGAAATGCATCTCTGGTCACATAATTTGGGGTATGGTGACCTATACCATATATCCTCTTTGCAACCAATCATGTTTTGGGTCGACAGAAGGTTCAGATGCAAGTTCCTGAGGGCATGATCGGCAATGTTTCCAAAACCATCTGGAAACTGTGAACAAAGGCCGTTCTGGCTGATCATAGCTGATCACTTTCAGTGATTCCAAGGATGTTAATCGATGGGCACATGCTAATGTCACCAAAGAGTGGTCTCTCGCAAGTCTGGTTTTCTGCACAACTTGCGGGAACAGATTGTGGAATCCAGCTGCTGTGCCTGCAGCAATCTCGGTCCTTGGTCACAAGACGTCAGACGTTGTGGGTGAACCAAATCCCGCCGCAAAAAAGTTGCTCTTGTCGAGCTAATTACTGAAGTGTTTCCAAGGGTAGATCAACCAAAGACTCCATGGACATTGAAACCAGCCTGTCAAAAGTCCAAGCATGCTGCAGCTAATGCCGTTTCTTCTGCTGGACTAGTCAACAATTCTTTGCACCTTTGCCAGCATAATCCCAACATATCCCATCCGCACCCAGTAGGGGATCATCCCGTGCCGAGGGGCAAATCCCCCAAAGGCATGGATTGCAGGTCCAGCTTCAACGCGCAGGCCTGGTCTCCCAAAACGGCCCATCCCATGGGTTTCACCCATGGGCTGTTGCTGTGGCCATCCCACATCACTACGATTCTACCTGGCACACTGGGTGAATCCCTTGGCAAAACTCACAAGCGCCTCAAGCACTCTTTCATAGATGCTGTTGTTCATGTCCAAGCCAAATAGGATGTTGGAACCTCAGGATGGTCAAAGTCAACGCACTCGCTGCAAAGACGGGATGTTGTGGGGATTCATTCCTCATTTCACTGGGTGTTTTCCAGATACACATACGGTATACCGTATTTCGATGCGAGTCGTGTTCAAAAAGCCTCGGTTGATTTCCACACATACTGGCTGGTTGATAGCCTTATGACAATTCCAGTACCCTCTGGTTATGACTAACATAGCCATGGGAAATGGCCCATTTATAGAGGTTTACCTATTAAAAATTGCGATTTTCATTGATTTTCCATGGCTATGTTAAATAACCATGGTGATTTTCCATGGCTATGTAAATTACCAGATGGTATATCCACTAATTATATTGGATAGTATAATCCCCTATGATTAATCATCACCCAACGGGCTCTCGGACGTAAGGTGCCGGCAAAGAGCCACGGCTCCTCTAGGTTGTAGAAGACATTGGTTTAACATGGTTTGACATGGTTTAACCATTGCACGATATCTTGAGGGTATAACTAACCATAACAGGATTTATGGTGATCTTATAATGGGATACAACCAACAACATATGATTTGGGTTTGTCTGAACATTGGGAATGTGCCCCCAAGTTATGGCCAGCGAATAGCAGGAAAATCATGGAAAATCATGATCAACCACCACATGTTGGGGCGCCATTCCATATGTTCAGACAACCAACTCTTTGCTTTCCCTTGATATTTTAGCAGATGCAATCCAGTCAATGGACCAAATAATTGTCCAAGAACCGCTGCGGCTCACACTTGGGGTCGAAATCCAAATGAGGTGCCCCCCAAAGCCCAGCGGGTGAAATATCTACCAGTCTATAGAAAAAATATCAATCGACATCATCGACCCATAATTCAGCCAAGTTCAAATACTGTACCCCAAATGCGAGGATGCCGACACTAGTGTAAAGAACATAGGCCAGCACGAACGCACCACAAACAAATCAGATTCAACGGAAGACCTGCCATGAAATCCAATGGGCACATGTGGTTTTTTAGTGAAAAACCATGAAAAACCTAGGTCAAAACTCAAAACAAAGGACCCCACCAAAAACATTGTGTTTTTTTCCTGTTTTTTGTCCATGATTTCCATACCTTTCCATGGTTTTCCGCTGCCAACAGCTGCCTGTGGTGCTAAGGCAATCTTGCGACCTCCCAGG